TGTCGCGCTGAAGATCGTATCGCCGCCAAGGAAATTATCATACTTATACCGCTACAAAATCACTTCAGCGTCTCGATAGGCACAACGACATTTCTCACTACAGTGGCAGACCTGCTCCATTGGCCGAAAGCGTACCACCTTGCACCCGGGAAGTATCAAAAATGCAGCAAAATACCTCCATCTCCAAGTGAGAAAACTCCGATTTCTTTTTTCGCGAGAGACAACGGAGTTTTTTTTAGTTGGAGAGTGAAGCATTTTGCCACATTTTTGATACTTCCCGGATGCAAAATGAAACGTTTTTTGCCACTGACAATGAGTCAGGTCCCTCACTGTATTTTCCCGGCAGACCGACATCTCAAGTTGGCTGAATATCTCCGGGCGCAGCTCGAAAAACAACTCTAGAAAAATTTTCTGACTTTTTTTCCCCTACATCCTGCGTATTAACCCTTGCACTAAGATGACCCTTCAATTGTCTTATTTTTTATTTACAACTCTTGCCTTATCAGAAACCTTTCACAGTAATCCCAGAGGTTGGAGGTCATAACTGATTAAGACTGTTTTAGTTTTTTTTTTGTGATGACTCTTTGTCCGAAATTCTTAGGTTTTGTGTTTTCGAAGGTCGATGAATAAAGATTATCGGAACGGCCAAGATCATTTCTTGTAGTTTCATATGACGTTTGCGTATTTATATTATATTTAACACAACATTCAACATCAGCTTGATTGTTTGATTGCTGCTCTCAGTTTTTGTCCAGGGAAAGATTAGCTTCTTTTAACCATTAGGGCTACTGTAAATTTCATTGTTTTGTAGCAGACGTCGTGGTTAAATTGTGCCAAGCTTCATCCAGATATGAGCGTCGAATATAAAGGTGGTCATATAAGTATTTAGATTTTTTTTCCCAAATCACGATTTTCGGTGCACAAAAAAGTCGACGCCCAAATCGAAAAATTGGCGTTGACTTAATTTTTTTTCGGCATCGAATTCTGAAATACGGTGCATTTTTCTTTTTCGAAATCAATGCACAAGGTCTTAAGTCGGCACCAAAAACTTACGTGCTCATCACCTCATTTCGGAATTCGGTGCTGAAGAAATTAAGTCGACGCCAATTTTTCGATTTGGGCGTCGACTTTTTTGTGCTCCGAAAATCGGTTTGGGAAAAAAAATTTTTAAATACATATATGCTTTGTATGGAACACCTCCCTGTTAGTCAAAAAAGGGAAAGTGAGGATCGCAACCAATCAAAGCTCTTGCTTTCCAAAAGCAAACGTCACCCACATTTAACCTCCACCCCCGCCGCGCGTTGAAACCCATGTTCAACAATTATCCCCTCCATTTCCTCTTTGATCCCGATTGTTATCCCCACCCCCACCAATTTATTTAGTTGCCATTTCTCTCTCGTGAATTTCACGTTTCAAAGTCCATCGTTTCTGTAAACTAATGAAATCGGATCAAAGCGTCAATCGAAAATAGAGGGTGGCGGACGGTCATGAGAGAAGGTGGAGGGTGATAATCCGTTTTCGAGGAGAATCAAGTGATTGGCAAGGCTTTGGAAACGAAAAACCATGGAGTTATAAGGGTGACAAGGTGATAAATAAAAGTTTATCGAAGTTTAGTGTTCAGGAATAAAAGTCCTTGTATGTACAGAGAAGGACCTGATCCAGCGCAAAAAACGTATCATTTTGTATCCGGAAAGTTTCAAAAAATGTGGCAAAATACCTCCCTCTCCTAGTGAGAAAACTCATATTTCAAAACCGCGCCCGTTCTTTTTATGAGTGAAAAAAACGTGCCCTTCAAAACGGAGTTTTCTGTGTTGGAAGAGGAGGCATTTTGCTACATTTTTTGAGACTTCCCAGATGCAAAATGGTACATTTTTTGCCACTGAGTCAGGTCGATCACTGTGAATGTCGAAGTTCGGCGCCTGGATTTTCTTAAACTTTGTCGGCATGGTAAAAAATAATGCGCATGAACATCGTCGCGTCGCTGACCAGCAATTCGATTTTTCCGCAAAACAATTTATTTTTTTCAGCGGCTATGCAATTTTTGATGCGACAGTCTTCTCAATATTTTTCTGGGACTTTAATTCCAAAACACACAAAAAATGTCAAATTTAGGCCATCTTTGCGCTTGAAAACCTAGTTTATTTCGACAAAGAGCAAGCAAAGAATCCTGTATAGCGACGGACCCGATCCAGTGGCAAAAAACGTACCATTTTGCCTCCGGGAAGCATCAAAAAAGTGGCAAAATGATTCCTTCTCCAAGTGAAAAAAAACTTCGATTTGAAGGGCGCGCCTTGTCGCTCACAAAAGAACTTAAAATCGGAGTTTTTTCGCTGTGAGAGGGAAGCATTTTGCCACTTTTTTGAAACCTCGCAGATGCAAAATGGTACGTTTCTTGCCACTGGATCAGGTCCCCCACTGTATATACTATACGACAAGGATGCACTTTGTGCCAAATGTAGTCATACCTGCGCGTAAATCCAGTACACTTTGATCCCTTCAATTTCCAGCTACACTTATTTTCTTATCACTGCTACAATTTTTTTCTTGTCAGTAGCGGAATTCCAAATCGCTATAAATTTTGTCAGCATCCTCTTTTTCTGCTCAAAATTCTCATCGCTTTGAATTCCACTTGCCGCGGCCCTTATCAGCGTTCCGATTTCTGTCCTTTCGCCCAATTTTTCGCATTTTTGGGAGGCGGAAATACGCAGTCGGTGATTGTTTTTCGATAACAACATTTTCAATTGTAACCTGGTGCTGCAACTTGTGGGGGAAACAAAATTGATTGATTTTTATCTTTTTTTTGAGTGATGGAAAATTTCTCGGCCCGACTCCGGGCTTCAATTTTTAGGCCCGGCCCGGGCCGGCCCGGTTTATTTGAAATCGAAGTTTTGCCCGGAAAAAAGGAAAAAATATGTTTTTTCGATAGAATTTTTCATTTTTCCGAACACACTGGTGATAGCGAACGTAAAGTGACCTTATTTACCTAGGTTTTGGTAAATTTTTCTTTACATTTTGCGAAAATTTGCCATGATTTTCCTTTCATTTCCCGCTTTCTTTCTTTCCAACCTAGTGTAAAAATTTTCCGGGCCGAACCGGGCCGGGCTGGCCCGGTTTGCAGCTATACTTAGGGCAAACAACATGACAAAACTGGCAAAGATTTCGCCAAAAATTTTTTTTTCTCAGACCGCTCTCCGCGTTTCGCATCAACTCTCGGCCGCAAGGATCGTTAAATTTCGAACTATAATACTTTCTATAAAAACGATCATTTCCTCAAGGAAAATGCTAAAACGATAGAAAAAAAACTTGGCAGTAGCGCTTCTTCAATTCCGCAGATCGTAAATCAAAAGACCTTGCGATAATTAGGCTTGATAATTTTTTTCAAATTTCGTTATAATTTCCCTTTTTGTTTATAATCATAGGTCATGCTACTCATTACTGATAAGGAGTGATTTTCTTTTGTTCGGAAATATCGTACGTTTATTTTTTTGAGTCCTTGCTTTTTTTAACTTTGTTTTCGAGGAGAAAGTACTTGATTCTGGAAACCCCTTCAAGCTAAGTCCCTTAAAATTTTGAGTGTAAACAAGCCAAAAATGGTACGCCGAAAGCTTTAGGTCTCACTTTTCAGAAGGAGAGCATAATGGGAAGATTCGGCCAAACAGAAAAATGTTTTAGACCAGATATGGATTTGGGCCAAAAAATCTATGGATATACAGTGGCCGGACCTGAACTAGTGGCCTACAACGTACCATTTTGCATCCAACAGGTATCAAAAAATATGGCAAAATACCTCCTTCCCCAAGTGAAAAAAAACTCCGATTTCAAAAGCGCGCCCGATCTTTTTGTGGCGCGCTCTTCAAAACGGGGTTTTCTCACTTAAAGCAGGAGGCATTTTGCTACATTTTTTGATACTTCCCGGATGCAAAATGGTACGTTTTTTGCCACTGGATCAGGTCCGCCACTGTGGTTTTTTTGTTCAAAAATTTTTGAGTGTTTGCAATATAGTGTATGCTTCACTGTCAATAACTTTGAAGACCTAATATTTGAAAATTAAAAACTGCGGAAAGGTCTCGGAAAAAACGCCAGCTACAACTACAAAAAGCGAAGAAATTGTGCAAGTTTATGTTTTCACGTCCACTTTCATCGGATTTTTTTTCATGTACTTTAGAAACTTTTGCTGTATTATCCAAACCTGTTGTCAGCGGGATTGCATAGCTCTTCTGCTGTCCGAAATTTCCGATTCCAGGACTTCAACGAGCATTTGAATGGCCCAAAAAAAGGAGGGATTATCACCCTCCACCCTCACTCTTGACTGCACGCCACCCTCTATTCGGCGGTCCGTTTCAGGAAAAATTTTATCGAGAAAAACAGTTTTAGAAAAGTAGTATCTGACAGTTAATATGATATATTAAATATTGTATTGCAACAACTACAATTTTCTTTATTTTTTCGATAAAGCTTTCATTTTCCTGTCCTTATATTCCCTTTTGTGTCGCAATTATACTACAAGTAATCCCAGCACAAAGCTGATACTATAAAGCTCAATTTTTTTTATCATTCTCAACAACCATTCCTATTCAGAAAACTCTTCTTTCTGATTTATTTCACAAAAGAATACAAAACGAAGGCATTTCCTTTAACTTCCGATAAGAACGAAGCATTTTGATGATAAGCCAATAGTAAACTTCCATTATTATTATTCAACATTTTTTATCAATTTTTTGAACCAATATTTCTTTTACTTCCAAGTTTTTTTGACGGAAATAAATCAGCCAGATGGCACGTAAAGTTCGGCCGGCCCGAAAGATCGTATATTACTAAAATCTGGAGGGCACGTAAGTGCATTCAATTCGACGTGAGCCTACGAATCTCTTCGCATAAATATTCGAGATTTTTCCGAAATTTTTCCGAGCTCTATATTGTTTCTCTTGGTTAGAAATTCGTGCCGGAATTTTTTGACAAGTCTTGATGTTGCATGTATTTTTTTTTTTTTGATTTTAAAAATGAAAATACAATTTCAGATTCCTAAACATTCCAAAACATACGATTTTCACCTCCGCTTCCCCTCAGGGCATTATGCTAATAAGCGGTTCCAAAGGGATATGATCGAGACATTCAACGCGCTAGATTTGACCAACTACACAAACGAATACCTCAATTTGACCGAAGAGGTCTGCGATCCATTTTACGTCTTTAAAAACGCCGGTAAATTGCACTTTTTTACAACATTTAACATACATTCCACTATACATTTGAACTCCAAAATTCTTCAGCTAGCCTTTGTCGATATGTGGAAGCGAATCAAGACGCCTGCTCCAGCGGAGGCTACCCTGAGTGGACCCATTATGCCCTGTGTACGGAGGCATTGGCCCTCCGATACGGGCTTTGGGTACCGTTGGCGATACTGTACATGATAATGGCGTTGATGATATTAGGAACGGCGAGCGATGAGTATTTGTGCTCGAGTATTTCTGTAATTGTAAATCAGCTCAAAATCTCGCAGAATGTGGCCGGCGTGACGTTGATGGCGTTTGGAAACGGAGCGCCCGACATTTTCGGAATGCTTGTTGAAGTTGTAGCCGCTGAAAGTCCGAAGGCTGATTTGGCGTTGGGCCAATTGTTGGGTGAGTGTTAATTTTGTTTTTGACTGTGTTTTGCAACCCACGTTTTTAATAGTTTTTGCAATTTACGTTTTTCCAATATTTTTTGTGTCATTTCGTCCATTTTTTGGGCGGAATGTAAAAATACAAAATTTTTGGTTTGTAACACAAAGTGTTAGCCACAGGCGAGAATTTTGACTAATTCCACTGTTTTTCGTTTTCCAATAACTTTTGTGGCTTTTCGTTAACTTTTGAGACGAAATGTCAAACATTTGGATTTGACTAAAAATGCGTTTTTAAACATAAAAAATCTGATTTAAAACAGGACAAAAGTTTGGTTCTGGCTTCTGGCTTTCTCATCTACTCTCAAATTTATCCCATTTTTCAGGAGGTGGTATGTTCGTTACAACGGTGGTTCTGGCACTGATTATTCTCCACAAACCCTTTAAAGTGATGCGTCGTCCGATGATCCGTGATCTCTCCTTTTACCTCATTGCCTTGGCTTGGCTGGTGTTTGTCATCATGTATGACAGTCGAATGTACTACTGGCAGCCGATGGTCCTACTATTGCTTTATGTTATATACGCTGGAATCGTAATTTTCGGGTCGGGCGTGCGGAACGGAAAATTTTTGTGTTTCCGATGGCAAACCGTGCCGAAGTCGCGGATTTCTTCGAGAAGATTGTCGAGAAAACGGTCGACGGTCCTTGGTGGTGAGCTTTCTGTGATGAAAAGTATTTTTTATAGGCCACATTGTAGAATTGGCCATCTCGACGGTGGGTCCGGAGGATGGGGTAGCTGTTACTGTGGCCTCGTGTTCTCCGGGAAAAATATCGCCGGTTCCGCCGAAGCAACCAAGAACAACCTCCTTCAACAACGGCTTATTGACTGTCGATTGTGGAGGAGTAAGTGCGGGCCAGCTTGGGACAAAAAAATAAAAAATGAATCAAGAATTTAGAGGGGAAGTACTCCAAGTGCGACGCTCAGGTTTTGATGACATTTGGCATAAATTTAGAACAATTTTTTTCTAAAATATATGCAAGAATCCTAGCTCGCGCTTTGCAGAAACAACTGAGATTTTTAGGTCAAAAGTGGGCGAAAATTTTGTACTTTTTGCCGACGAATTTTGGCACGAAAGGTTTCATGCCTTTTCTACCGTAGAGGGTAAGGTTTCCACAAACAATCAAAGTGTTTTTTTCTCTGTCCGCTCTCCGTGTTTACTCTTTCGGCGTCAAAGATCGTTCAATATCTCGGCGGTGCCCGAAAAGCGCGAGCTAAAACTTTCAGGAATTAATATTTAGTTCATGCCCGACGTGTGTTCAAAATTTGAAGAAAATCTGAGCGTCGCACTTGGGGTACTTCCCTTGTTATTTGGGTATCTAACACACATGGTATACGTATTATAGATCGGTATAATAGATCGCCCGGAAGGGCAAAAGCCCTGCTATTTCTTGTATATAGGATGACAAGCCAACTTTTAGCCTTGCAAGTTTTTTTTGCTTGCAGCAATCAAAACAATGGCTTGTCAAATGCGAAAGATCGAATATATATTCATCCCAGAGAACCCTAACAAGCCACTTTTTACAGATAAACAAACACCGTTCCACCAGCACCCTGTCTCGCCGCAGCAACATTACAATTGTTCCTGTGGGCGAGCCGGATGATGACGTTATGACGCCCCGCCTCTACCGAGACCACGGCAAGTTCTTCACCGACGAAGTGGACAGCGATGACACCAGCTGTGAGTTGGTTGAGGACGCCTTGGACAACGCGTCAGTGACTTCTTCCTCGCCCAACACCAGCTACGGCTCCATCACCCCCATAACGGACGAGCCGAAGGGAATACTGAAGAGGAAATACAATGACTACAGCAAAAAATTGAAACACGCCTACGACAAATGGTATGAGGAAAAAATGGCGAACGAGCCGTGGTATGGAAAGGTTATCGCATGCCTGCGATTGCCGTGCGGTTTGATTTTGTGGGCCACAACGCCCAGTACAAATATGGGATGGAATAAATGTGTAGCGGTGCTGCACTGCTTTGCGTCGCCGATCTTTGTTCTTTTCGCGTTTGAAGGTGAGTGGGAGGCTGGTAAAAAGGGAGAGGGTAAATATTCTCTTCGAAAGAGAGGTGTAATCCTATCGGGAAATAATGAGTTGTGATCATTATTTTCCCGACAGACTGATAGCAAAATAGGACGGCTCAGATTTTTTTTGATTTTCCTGGAGCTACAGTGGATGACCTGATGCTGTGGCAAAAAACGTACCATTTTGCATCCAGGAAGCATCAAAAAATGTGGCAAAACACCTCCCTCTGCAAGTAAAAAAACTCAAATTTCAAAAGCGCGACCGCTCTTGGAAAAAGTTCCTTATTCTGGCCACAACAAAGGTATTCCGCGAACTGCGCCCAAGCTTGGGAACGAAAGTTAGGAAAAGAAGGCTTCGGCCTAACTGGCAGTGAATTACGGTAATAGCTCTATAGTTTGAAGGGTACCTACGAAGGCGGTGACGACTCATTTAGTTCTATACGGAGGCAATAAGTTTAGTTCCGGACATGTTTCATCGTATAAAATGCAAAAATCGCAGGCTGCAACCGTTTTGTAGGGGTAATGTGGTACGTAAAAAAGAAGGTACCTCACTAACTGAAACCACTGTCCGGGCATTGACAACAATGAATTGAGCCAGCACGCAAAAGTTGGGCTAATTCTGACCAGTTTCCGCAAAGTTATAAGTTGTGGCCAGAATAAGGAACTTTTTTCCCCGCTCTTTTGTGAGGAAAAAGGGAGCGCCCTTCAAAACGAAAATTTTAGCTTGGAGAGGGAGGCATTTTGCCACACCTTTGATACTTCCCGGATGCAAAATGGTACGTTTTTTGCCACTGGATCAGGTCCACCGCTGTATATATTCTCAAACTACGTGAAAATACATTTTCAGCGGTTGCGTAAAAGAAGACCTTACGGTCACATCTAAAGCATGTTCATATTTTCAGTAGCCACAATGAATCCTCATCCAGACGGGCCGGATCTGTGGGTGTATTGTTTCGTCGTATCGACGATCCTCGCCATTGCTGTGTATATCATCACCTCCGAAGACAAGGAGCCCAAATACCTCAAGGTAAGGTCGTCGTCAGACTCACAACCCAAATGTTTCGCTTCCAAAACACATTTTACTTTGCGATTTTCTTTCAGTACATCCAGCCCTACACCAGTTTCATCGTCTCCGTCGCATGGGTCTATTGGATGGCGGCGGAGATTGTGAATGTTGTGATGATGATCGGAGTGGTCAGCCGGATTTCCCATGTTGTTCTCGGGTTGACGGTGCTCGCGTGGTCCAACAGTCTTGGCGACGTTGTGGCTGATTTGGCGGTGGCCAAGCAGGGATTTCCGAGAATGGCGATTTCGGCTGTTTTTGGAGGACCTTTATTGAGTAGGTTGAAAAATGAGGCCTAATCATGATTTGGAAACGAAATTTTTTCCTAGTCAGATAACTTTTTGGCTAGCCAAGTTAGCAAAAAGTGATTTTCCAGTTACTGAAAAAACACATTGTATACACTGGAACAGGTCCCCTGCCGTACGTGATTTTGCATTTTGTATGTATATCACAATTGATGCGAGCAAAAGTTTTCATGGATCGCTTTTGCCGTCTTTTGCACTTTACATTATAAATCGATCAACCCGTATTATGGGGCAATATTTATGGTAGAAAAAGGCCAAAAAATAATAATTTAAAACATGAAATTTCAGACCTCCTCATGGGCTACGGCCTCTCGTTTATGATCGCCTGCCTCAAGGGCCGGCATCCCATCAAAATCGACCAGGGCAACCTGCAAAAGTTGCTGATGATCTTCTTCCTTTGTTTTTCCTTGATCTCAACCATGGTGTTTTTAGTCGTTCAAAAGTTCCACACCACTCGACTGCACGCTTACTTTTTACTCGCATTGTATGCAGTCTTTATTGGGGTAAATTTGCTGGTGGAATCGCATGTCATAAGCCTTTAATATCCTTTAATATTTTTTGTAAGAAACCTTTTAACTGTACATTTCCTGTCTCATCGTTTTCAAGCCTATATTACATTGTACAACATATCCCAATGCAATCAAAAACTCTGTCTCACCGGTTCGAATATCATGATATACGGTAATTTAGTCATAAATCGCCTTCAAATTGTGAGTGAAGCTCATAAAGTGCCTTGTAACAGTGCTACTTGCTGAAAAATCACTTTGCTAATATTTCTGTTTATTCGTGTAATTTAGTTGTAATAAACTGTTATACAAAATAAATTATTGATGTGTATGAGGGATGGTGGGCGATAAGAATGGTTTTTGATGAGTTATTTTTAACTGTAAGTGATTTCCGTTTGGAAACGGACATGATAATTGAAACTGAGCGCGGATTGAAGTGAATTGGTGACTTGGCGAAGCATTAGGCCCGAAATCGTAACTCCTTCGATCTGAAAGTACGCTTTGTTGAACTAAGGACATTATAGGCCAGCTGAAAAACCAAAAACCTTCAGTAGTGTTCCAGGAAAAAAATATGGGATCGAAGGTGTTCAACGTCCGGAAAGGCATATACGATTATTTTATGGACGAAAATGCAGAAATGAGGGATTTTTAGCGCCAAAAAAGTTATCGCCGGAAGGTCAAACATACGTCTTCCCACACATAGGAGTGAGGGGGTTGATCCAGTGGCAAAAAACGTGCCATTTAGCATCTGGGAAGTATAAAAAATGTGGCAAAATGGTTCCCTCTCCAACTGAAAAAACATCGGTTTGAAGTGCGCGCCCTTTTTCCTCACAAAAATATTATAGCGGGCGCGCTTTTGAAATCTGAGTTTTTCCACTTGGAGAGGGAGGTATTTTGACACATTTTTTGATGCTCCCTGGATGCAAAATGGTACGTTTTTTGCCACTGGATCAGGTCCCCACTGTAAGTTCAGCCTGAGAGACTCGATCTGAACTTGAAGTTGTTCTAGCAACTCTTTCTTTTCTTATGCATTCATTATCATAAATATTACCTGCGCATTCGCATTCACAATATTAGTCCTTTGCGTGTACGTGCCGAATGTCTTTGTGGCGCACATTGCAACCGGAACAGCGGCAGCTGGAGTGATAATCATGGTGATGGCGCCCGACTCCAACAGCCCAAAGTCTGTATTGGCCATGGTCATTGTTGGCAACGGGGCCGTGCCAGCGACGGTTTGGCAATTACTAATCTCCTGCGGAGTGTAGCCGGTTGTAACCCGGACTCCTTGAGTGGGGATGTTGTTTTGAGAGAGGGCACTAATCACCTAGACAATTGATATTTGTTTAGTCATCAAAATTGATCTGTTTTGTCATCAAAATCTGTTGTTACGGACAAGACTTAAATTTTCGGAGCAAAAAATATGTTTTATATTCTATGTTTCACTGTTTGTTCGCACTTACAGCCGCCTGAATATCTCCTTGAGCCTGGATTAGAGCGTCTTGCTGAGTCAGAGGCTGGCCGGGGAAGAATTGGCCGGTTTGTTGGGCGTACGTTACGGGATAAGTCCATGCAGCTGGCGGAGACATAGTCCAGCTTAACGTGGGATTTGTGAAAATTCTGCCGTCGTCGCCTGGAAATTGAATTCGGGCAATTATTTCAAATGAAAAAATCAAGAGAAAATTAAAAAATCTCAAAAAATTTTTGCTCTAAAATTAAATACTAAGATGTGTGAATTTGAATAAACTTACCAATACCACCACTACAACTCCAAGCCTTTTGAATCACCAAAAAAATCAAAAAAAGGAACAAGTATTTTCCAGCCATCTGACCAATCTACAGTAACCCAAAGAAGAGAAAAATAAGCAAAAGTTTACTTTGACTTCCAGAAGTCGTTGTCCTTTTATATAAAGCCATATTCGGTTTTACGACGGCTCCAGTCATCCCTTTTTAGCGAAAAGAAACTTTTCTCGGCCGTATTTTTGAATGGAGCCAGTGAATCAGCGGATAAAACCTGAAGATCCCGCGGGTTTTTATGACCACTCAATGTTTCGAAGTGTCTCTATTCCATTGATCAAATAATGCCTCAGGCGAAAAAACTACAAAAATTTTTGAAGTCTTACTTGCTGTCTAGGACCTTTGTAAAGCGAAGAAAAGCAGAAGAAAAAAAGAGATTTCGTTAAAAGAATATACAACCTACAGTGAGGGACCTGATCGAATGGCAAAAAACGTATCATTTTGCATCCGGGAAGTATCAAAAATGTGGCCAAATGTCTCCCCCTCCAAGTGAAAAAACTTCGGTTTGAAGTTTCCCTCACAAAAGAGCGGGCATGCTTTTGAAATTGGAGTTTTTTCACTTGGAGAGGGAGGCATTTTGCTACATTTTTTTAATACTTCCCGGATGCAAAATAATACGTTTTTTGCCACATTTTTTGATACTTCCTGGATGAAAAATAGTGCTTTTTTTGCCACTGGATCAGGTCCCTCACTGTAGGTCCTCTCGCAAAAAACAATTTTTAGCAGGAGAAGGCTCTTAACTTTTTTGACTGCATACTTATTGGCCACAGATAAGGATCCCAGACTCTAAAAGTGTTCATAGATTTGTTTGTTCATAATATTTTTGCTGATGAATTTTGCTCCATTTATAAAGTTTAAGGCCGCCCGACTGGCAGTATAAATAGCGACATCCAGAAAGAAGAGGATCATAGCTTGAAATGCAACTGCTTCTTGTTCTCTTCTTTGTTTTCGGGTTTCTGGCAACAACCGCAGCGGACTGTGGCGCCAGAGCCTTTGGACGTAAGTGCGGGTCCGTTCGCAAAGCCGCTGATGTGATTTTTGCGAATGCATGTGCGAAAAAATCAGGGTCGAGTGAGGAGAGCCCAAAAATGCCTATTGCACGGTGCATAAAGCGGCAAATTGCTTTTTGCACCAAGTGTAAGGTGCACATTTGTTTTCTCACAGACCATGCCATAAAAATCACTCAAGGGACTTTGCGAATGGACTAGTAAAAAATACTAATAAAAAACCACTGCCAAATATATAATTTTTCAAAGTGAAAGTCTTATCCGTCTTGCTGACCTTGATCCTTTCTGTGGCTACAGTGGCGGACCTGATACATTGGTCAAAAACGTAACATTGTGAATCCGGGAAGTATCAAAAATGCAACAAAATACCTCCTTCTCCAAGTGAAAAAAACTCCGATTTTAAAAGCGCGCCCACTCTTTCTGAGAGGAAGCGCGGGCAGTTAAAACAGTTTTTTAGTTAGAGAGGGAGGCATTTTGCTACATTTTTGATGCTTCTCGGATGCAAAATCATACGTTTTTTGCCACTGGATCAGGTCCCTCACTGTAACTTGTAAAATCTCTGACGGTATTATTGTGAGTACTAATGCAGTTTGATTTTAGCGTGTGGCGCCAAGAACGAATGCCCACCAAACTATGTTTGCAGCGGGAAAATTTGCTGTGAGTTTTGTTTATAACTTTGAGCAAATTTGTTTCAATTCTGACAAAAGTTTTAGGCCTGAGCACAAAGTCTCGTAAAAACGCCAAGACTGGATGAAAAAAAACTATTGCCGAGGAAATGAAAGAATTTCTAAACGTCATCACATGTTTTTACGGCAATAAAGTTTAAATTGTTCGTTATATAAATAAAAGGAAACTGTTATTAGTGGAAGACCCCAAGGATGTTGGTTCACAAGGCCTGGCATGGTGAAAATTGTACTTCTAAAAGAAAATCATGTACTTACATCTTGCAGATCCATTCCAGCCCAACTTGTTTCTCTACTTGGCCTGACGATCATTTTATACGAATAAACACGTTTTATCGTATAACTTGTCGCTTAGATTAATCCATGACAACTCGGGGCAAACAATATGCTAGAAGTCTGTTCTAACGCTGTTGAATGAATGCGCCACAATTAACCTTATTTCAGCCATTCGATATACCTTACTGTAGAACCATTACTCATCGCAAATATGATGACAAATACTTCATTACTTTGTATTTGCTTAGTTTTTCCGCAGAATCATCTATAGTCTGCTTGAAACAAAACAGACGAGTACAATTCTCAATTTTTTTTTGATATTTAATAAACGTCATATCGCTATAAGAAGGTTACCCTTACCGTAATTTATTTGTAAGTCTGTGCAAATAACCTTCGAAAAAATTTGAGGTTTAGTCTTTTTAACTCCAATTGAAGCCGACTTCAAGATCATAAGTTCAGCCTGAGCAAGGGAGCCATCTTTTTGTGGGTGGAGTTGAGTCCTAATGTTTGCCAAACGTCCAATGATAAGTCTGTTCGTTTATTATAAAAAGGAAGACTGGAGATATTTCCTTCGCCACCTGATACCAGCACATCCAATATGAATTCAGCTGCTGTACTCTTGCTACTGTATTTTCTGGGTCTTCAAGCCTTCATCGAGGCTCGCCCACCCGCCGCCGAGCCGGCTCTGGAAGCTGTCAACATTGTGAAACGCCAGTCCGATGGAGATTGGGATTCTCCGAGAGGTGGCGGGAGCTACGGCGGTCGAGGATCTGATGGCGACTGGGATGCGTGGTACTTCTCTAAGCCGAAGACATACAACGACGGTTGGTGGCCCTAAAAAATTGTGGGTGTTGTATTCCAGGAAACTGTTGAATAAAAGGATAGTATTTTGAATGTATTTGTAACATATCGCATCACGAAACCTGAGAATTAGTGTTTAGGTAGCTCGTGCTTTCCATAATGTTCCTCAAATTAATCAAATGGGAACTGGCGAAGATGAGTGTTTTTATCTCTGAACGCTCTTCACGATTCGCACACTCTCTCGACCACAAAGGTCGTTCAATATCTCTGGTGTCTCACGCAAGATTTTTCACTAATTCATATGTGGCATGTGCAATAAGTGTGTTAAGAATTATAAAAAATGTGAGCGTAGCACTTGGGGTAATTCCCTCGTGATATTGTTTATTGGGATATCCTGAGTTGGACTTCCTGAATTTTCCGATTGGCTTCAGTTGATTACTTCGGAAGTTAAATTTGTGCATCAATAACTCGATCAACAGCAAGGGTTATTGCTGTCAAGACTTAGATATAAGTCGAGGTCTAATGAGGCCATTAACTTGCCCGCTACTCCAAGTGTCAACTACCCCTAATAACCTGGAGGAGACACACCGCAAGTTCGAATCCGCAAGTTCGAATGCCTAAATGACTAAAGTTCGAACGACCTCCAGTTCGAACTATCTAATGTTCGAATGACCGTAACTTTGAATAACCTAAAGTTCGAATGACTAAAGTTCGAAAATGAAAAAAAGTTAATTAATATTTAAATTATAATTTGCATATAATTATTTTGCAAAATACACTTCCTCTTCAATCATTCATTCATCCTCTACGATGGAGGTTGGTTGACCGACAACGAACGCGCTGTTCTTCATGTCGACCTGATCAAGATTCGTCATGGCGCCAATCCAACTGTGTCTTTCTCGGGATTCGTGGCTTTGTGTGGTGGATTTTGCTTTCTTCATAACAACTGGAGGTCGTTCGAACTTTAGTCATTCGAACTTTAGGCATTCGAACTTGTGGTGGGTCTCCTTTGTCGGGAACGCCTACCGCAAGTTCGAAAAACCCCAAGTTCGAAAACCAAAAGTTCGAATGCCGCAAGTTCGAATGCATTTTTTATATTTTCAAATTTCGAACTTCCGGTTTTCGATCTTTTAGTTTTTCTAATTTGAGGTTTTTCGAACTTCTAGTATTCGAACTTGCGGCATTCGAACTTGCGGCATTCGAACTTTTGGTTGTCGAACTTGGGGTTTTTCGAACTTCCGGTAGGCGTTCAACCTGGAGACCACAACTAGAGAATTTTAGCTGAAAAACTACGAACTCACGATAATTCGATTCCAATGAGCTTGGACCACCACCGGAATGTATCAAGGGGACTTCCAACAAATCACAAATTGGTTTATTTTTACTCAAATGAGTGACCGAAAAGCGATCGGTTCATTACACGTATATCAAAATATTCGTCGGTTTATGCTAATTTCTGGGAATTCTTCACGGAATCGTGACATTGCCTACTCTCCCCTTTGTTGCCGATGCGAGGGATACAAAGCATGAATGCAAAGAAAAAAAACCGATTACATCCATAGAGTTTTTTTAAAAGTTGACAGTACAAATTTCCCGATTTCTTAACAGGTGGATTATGACGCACATCAACCCCATACGTGCACAACCTCTCCGAAAACAAATCCCAGTTAATCTGTAGATCAGACCACTGAAACAGCGTTTATTCTCTTTACATGCTCTTTGTGAATAGGTTCTCCGCCTTGACCCAGGTTGCTCTGCCGATTGATCTCTCAGAAAACAAAAGTGCACCTTACACTTGGTGCATAAAGCAATTTGCCACTTTATGCACCGTGCAATAGGCTTTTTTGGGCTCTCCTCACTCGACCCTGATTTTTTCGCACATGCATTCGCAAAAATCACATCAGCGGCTTTGCGAACGGACTCGTACTTACGTCCAAAGGCTCTGGCGCCACAGTCCGCTGCGCTTGTTGCCAAAAGCCCGAAAACAAAGAAGAGAAAAAGAAGCAGTTGCATTTCAAGTTAAATATGATCCTCCTCTGGCTGGATATAGCTATTTATACTGCCAGTCGGCCGGCCTTAAACATACTGCTCGGAAGACTTTGCGTCGCTGAAGAATGCCCTAATACCTAATTGTAAGAAGAGTATCTGAAAGTTTGGAAATATTTGGTCGGGCTGCAGTAAGTTTATAGGATAGTCTGCCACAAATAACGGGCGTTCCCTGTCCTGAAAAGGCAAGATCAGAGACTCTAAACAGGGTTAATCCCGAAAATCTGATAGTCCTCTACAAGACTTCAGACTTCCACAATCATCGGCTTGTTAGAGCGGCCTTTACTTTTATTTATGTGGGTCATATTGCACTGCTAACTGATCTGCGGTTTATTTCGTAAAAAATAAATTTTCTACAGTCTTTACAACAATATGTAATAACATAACTTCCACGAGGATTACTGTCCGTATTTGCAGACCCCACAGGTCTGAATGCACGTCTTCAACATAAACGCCGTATACTGAGTGCCGGGTTTGCAGTACTGCGTGAATTGGGCGCAATTGATGGCTCCATCCACGCACCAATGCGCTGTGGTGCTTTTGGAAGTTTGAGTGACGGCAGTGGAATCACTCGGCAAGCAGAGGGCGAACAGGACCATGAACACAAGCAAAAGCTGCATCTTAGTTGATGTCAGTCCGTGGGGATGGTAATTCGAACTCGTCGCAGCAAAAGTCGCAAAAATGCAGAATGGCGATTTGAGCGCGAGGACCGATAATATTCAATAAGGCTGGGTCTGTGGCTCCTTTTATATCAACCCGGCAAGGGTTCACTTTTTGATCCGCATGGTTTGGGAACGTTAAAGCCATATGTTTCGTTTTTTGAATGTTTAACTACCTGCTAAATAAACTTGCTATTGAACTGGAGTGTAGGTGACGTATGCCCATCATCAAGCACTCGCGATGCCATCCCGGTATTCTACTAGATAAATGTGTGTAATTCAGTTTCAACAATCCGTCCAGAACGTTCACCTTTATCGGGTATCTGGCTTCATTGTTTTTGTTTGTAATATATGTGTAGGTATACTCGTAAAGTTTTCACCCCCTTTCTGACTCGGTCTAAAGCGTACCAATTCGGACAAAATTTGTATGTGTGGCCTACTGACGAATTATATAGTAACAAAGAATGTCATAACTGGCAACCCATAGAACTGTGTTTCTAAACCCAGGGGCAATTTCGGGAAAAAAACTTTTACCATCTCACCCCGGCCATTTAAAAAACATATATCGCCAGCGGTGCAGGCCGAACCTTTTGCAATCAACGCCCCATACCATAAGTTGACGGCGTCACGTCCGTTGCGTTCAACTGGCACGTTGCTGGTTGACGATTGCCTCGGAACAGTCATGGCTGGGCTTGGTTCGGCATGATTGATCTAGAAAGTAAAGGTAGACGAGACCTGAAATTAAAGTAGAAGTAAACGTTAGAGGTAGTTCCTGGAAATCCCTAAAATATCCGGCTCAAAAACGTTGGGTGTGTCATCTCTGGCACTAATAACGCCTATTTTTCGAAAAATATTTTTTCAAAAGAGCCGGAGCCGGACCCCTTTTCGAATTTTGCACGGGAGCCGGGTGGCGGAGCCGGAGCCGAAATTTTTTCCGTGGCTATAGGAGTGGAAGGGAAAAGTACAGAGATAATTTACAATAGACAGTTTGGGATCATTTTGATAGAAACAGGCAGACGGAGGTGGTTGTTCGGCTGTTCTCCTTGGACAGCGGCAATCTCTGGCTATAACCATGTGGTTTAGATGTGTAATCACCTGCATTAACTGTATCTTTTCGCAAGAAGTACATGGTGGTCTGACTGGATTCGTTGATTCGGCGCATACCGTCTTGTCATGCCTTGCGTTGCTATGACACTTTTTTTTACTAGCTCGTCAGTAGACGACACACCAAATTTGTTCCGAATTAGTACACACTGGACCGAGTTAGAAGGAGGTCAAACCTTTTTATGCGGAGTATAATTGTACCTCAGCCACTCTCTGACTTACCACTCAACCTCAAGCTTTTATATTACATGGTAATTTATTAACTGCTGCTGCCTTTTACTCCTTAAAAATAAAAAATCTTCATGTTCTGTTTACAAATTCTGTTCAGGTATCTTGGATCGACTATTGGCCGTATTTGCACACTCCGCAGGTCTGAATGCACTTCCTCAACATGAAGGCCGTATACTGCGTGCCGGGCTTGCAGTACTGCGTGAACTGGGCACAGTTGATGGCCCCATCCACGCACCAATGTGCTTTGCTGGGAGTGGTGGGCGTGGTTGGGGTGGTGGGGCTTGTCTTCTTCTTTTTCTCGTCACTGCTACTTCCGAAGCCGAGGAAGTTGCCGCGGAAGATCACCTTTCGTGGACCTGAAGATAGTGATCGTCAGCAGCAATGTTAAGTGTTTTAGACGCGGCAGCTTGCATAAAACTTTATCTATTACAAAAAACGCGAGCTTTTATTTCATGTTGTCTTGGCCAACGAAAATTAGATCATAGTCATTGAGAGGGCAGACGTCATTCGACGCAGATTTGACCAAAATTAACTCCAAAAATTGACAAATATCTTTTCGAAATTGAAATTAATTCAGCAGGAATGAACCAGCTGTGTAAACCTTGTCGTTTATGCATCCTTTTCTGCCGAAACAAAGGAAAAAACTGTAGGTTACGTAAATCCACTCGCGGCTCAAAGTCCAGAGAGCTCGTCGCTGCATGTAGCACTCTGGAAAAATCACTGCGAAAAACGGGAATCCGTAAAGAAAACTATCCGAAATTCAGGGTTTAAGGATATCTGCCACCAATTTAGAGTACTGTTTTAAGAAATATGTAAGATTCCAAGTTTGCACTTTGCAGAAGCAACCAATTTTTTCCAAGGTTCGTGAAAATGTGGCATTTTTTGCGAGGTTAGGCGTGAGAAGTTACCGCACAGCGCACGTCAAACTGAAGTATGGCGAGACAACACCGTCGCACGTCAAACTGCGATAATCAAAAAAAAAAAAAAACAGTCCGGTGAATGGATTGGCAATTTGAAAACAGTCCGGTGAATGGATTGGCAATTTGCCAAAAAAGACACGAAAAAACGTTTTGTCGGTGAAGAAATGGGGAATTTTTGGGGCGAGAGAGTACGCTTTTGCGTGTCTTTTTTCTCTCTTTCTCTGCGAAATCAAGACGAAGTGTAAAAAATCGGTAGCGAAGGGTCTATTCCGGTCACCGGACTTCTCAGTTTACGTGCAGCGTTCTGTACTTTCTTGACAAATGAAATATGTAAATCGGACACCGATTTTTTCGGATTTTTTTCGTGGGCGACATTTACGGCAGTCTAGCGAGCGCATGCTATAAGAATGAAATATCAAAGGAAAAAAATAAAATAAAAAATTTGCAGTGATTATAGAGCAAAAAGAGGTCTTTCCAGCCATGTCACTTTTTGCAACTTTTATACAAAACTGAATTGTTAATAAAATGAAGTAATCAGCGCTGAAAAATGACCGACTTTGGATTTTCGGCGCCAAAAGACGCCCTTAGGCGTAATTTTATGTACAAGTGAGACGTACCACCACCTGCGGAATTTAATTCTCTACAACATATCCAAAAATGAAAAAATTTCACTGCTTTTCCGTCGACTTATACGTCACAAAACCCTTATATTCTCAGGAATTCATAGGATTATATTTGTTTAATTTTTTCGGGACTTCTACGTGGCTTTTTGTATACTTTTGTGCTAACAATAACCGAGTTTACTTTTTTTGTTTTTGATAAAAAACAAAAAAGTTATAAAATGGCAAAAAACAGACTTACAGCAGATGTTGGATCTACACTCATAATTCTGCGGACAGGCACCTTGAATGCAGGCTGAAAATAACGCGATCATCATGGGTTCTTTGTATATTTTGCTGGGCTCAGAGCTCCTTATCGAAGAGTTAACGAAAACAAAATAAAATGTAAAAAGATTGTGGACTACCGATAACTTTTTTTAAATAGTAAAACCTAAATATTCCTACAAATCGTCCTTTTAATAACCCACCTCCCAGAGCGTTGCCGCAGACCCACGTGGGATCGGGCGTTGTGGCCGCACAAAGGCCGAACAAAGCCAGTGACATGCATAACCACTTCATTTCGGATAATAACATCCATCATCCGTTTGCTCCCCTTTTATATACAGCTCGGGGATGAAGTTTGAAGTTTGCATATGGATCAAGTTTTCAGACCGGGCCCGCTGCGGAAATATTGTTGGAAAAGTTTCGCATCGGCAAAAAATGGATCTGTTTGGATTAGAGTGCCTGAGGCCAAGTTTGGGCAATGAGAACAGCCTCACGGGATGAAGAAAAAGTTGGGCAGGTGTGAGAGAGCATACAGAGAAAAATGCGGACTTGTAAATTGATCAAAGCCGGCTGCGCAAACGGTTGTATTTGCGTATTTGACCGAGTATTCTGCTGCCCAAAGGGCCTAATAAAAGATCGAGTTTAAGTGAACAATTTTAAGTGAACTTGTAATTTAAACAAAGTTTTTTTTTTTTCGGTTCGGACGTCAACGCGACTGCAATGTCTATAAGAAAAAATGAAGGTCTTGCCAACATCAAATGACATACTGTTTTTTTAGAATACCCACAAAAGTTAAAGTACATTGACCGGCCGCTTCGTTTTTTATTTGTTAATGGTGTCTATCAAGCAGGGGAAGCGTGTTTTGCAGAGCCAAGCCAACGACCTTCGGCCAGGGATTAAGATCCGCAGGCCGGCCCGGTTGATCTTTTTTGAGCTAGAAAAGACATCAATTGCATTATTAAAACTTGAAAATTTTTACTTACTTCTGTATTAAGCACAAAAAACTTTATGTATTATGCACTTAAAGAACAACCGTGTTTGTTGGTTTCATAGATCGCGTGAGCTTCACGCGGTTTGTATAGCCGGCAGCGTTCAAAAAATGAATTACGCGGCATTCAGTAAGCCGAATTCGAAGCAACCCAAGTGATCTGCAATTACAGAAAGGACAATACGTAATACTGAAACAACACGCTCGCAGAAAATGGATACAACAAAGAAATAACACGGCAATTGATAAGTCTATGGTTACCCCATAAACCAGACATGAGAGAAACACAAGCGACAGCGGATAATGGCGTAAAATTGGTTCTTACGGCCGCTGAAATTGTCGGTTATGGGTAGAGATTGCCACGGTCAAAATTTTGGCTCCGGCTCCCGGGCAAAAAATTTAAAAAGGTCTCCTGCTCCGAGCTCACATGAAAATTTTTTTTAAAAGTATTTTTCCAAAAATTAGAGTTATTATTGCCAGGGATAACGGTTTTCCTCGAGAGGAACCCCTCGTTGAGAGGAACCCCTCATCGAGAGGAACCCCTCGTCGAGAGGAACCCCTCGCGAGGGGTTCCTCTCGATTTTTCCGAATATGGAGGAAATTTGTCGATGTAGGGGGTTTCAAAGGTCGATGTAGGGGGTTTCGAGGGCGGGGATTTCAAAAATGATGTTAATTTTTTCTGATTTTTACTTTTTTTCTTAACTAGTAGTGTTAAAAAGTAATTTTTGGAATTTGTTCTATAAATACTCGATTTAGGGGTTTTCGAGGGTGCTGATTTCGAAAATCATGTTAGCTTTCCTCTTTATAGTACTATCTGGTACTATGCAGTACGAGGTGAAAATATGGCTTTTGGCGTTAATGGTGTTGTTTTGATGCTTAGTACTCCTCAAAAACACGTTTTAAATAACTGGTACTGTTTAGTACCGTCTGGTACTATGTAGTACAAGGTAAAAATTTGGCCTTTAGGTGTTAGTGGTGTTGTTCTGTTGCTTAGTACTCCTATTTTCACCTTGTACTACATAGTACCAGACGGTACTAAACAGTACCAGTTATTTAAAACGTGTTTTTGAGGAGTACTAAGCATCAAAACAACACCATTAACGCCAAAAGCCATATTTTCACCTCGTACTGCATAGTACCAGATAGTACTATAAAGAGGAAAGCTAACATGATTTTCGAAATCAGCACCCTCGAAAACCCCTAAATCGAGTATTTATAGAACAAATTCCAAAAATTACTTTTTAACACTACTAGTTAAGAAAAAAGGTCAAAATCAGAAAAAATTAACATCATTTTCGAAATCCCCGTCATCGATTACCTCTATATCCAACATTTCCTACTCGGGGGTTCCTGTCGACGAGGGGTTCCTCTCAACGAGGGGTTCCTCTCGACGAGGGGTTCCTCTCAACGAGGGGTTCCTCTCAACAAGGGGTTCCTCTCGACGAGGGGTTCCTTTCGATGGCATTCAGGGATAACACACCCAACGTTTTTGCAACGCATCCTACCCAGTATTTTTCAAGCCATTTGTTTTAACAAGACTGCGAAATTTTTACTTTTCTGAATGCTGAGAAGCCTCCACTTTGGGTTCGGGAGCCGGAGCCGCACCCAAAATTTCCGGCTCTGGCTCCCGGCTCGGAGGCGGGCGCACACTTGCGGGCAACCACTTTGCGGGCAAATTTTTTTCGGGCAGCCACTTTGCGGGCTACCGACATTTGCGGCCAGCACCGGCATTTGCGGTCAGCCTGGGACATTTGCGGGCAGCCGACGCCTGATTGTGAGGGTAACAGGGTGGACATGGAAAAATTACTATGATATTTTGGAAATTTGCCGACATTTGCGGGCAACCGGTGCTTGAGGATAACAAGGTGTAGGTGGAAAAATTACAGCGATATTGGAAGTTTTCCGACATTTGCGGGCAGGAAATACTTGGAGGAATCCGACATTTGCGGGCAACAGTTCCAAAAGTTCCAATACAATCTGTGTGATTATTTTTTCCTGTTGCCCGCAAATGTGACCCCCCCAAATTTTGCCCGCAAAGTGGTTGCCCGCAAAAAATTTGCCCGCAAACTGGTTGCCCGCAAGTGTCGCGACGCCGGCTCGGAGTCGGAGCCGCTCAGAGCCGGAACCAAGAGCCGGCTCCCGAGCCATGACAATCTCTGGTGCCATGGCAAAAGCGAGTTGCAGTGCGCGCATAATCAGGCAAAAACAATAGCGGCGTAGTTGAAAAAAGCCTACGTCTCTGTGGTATTTTGATTCGCGGTGCAAAAACGAAAAGTGCACGGTGCAAATTTGGGGAAATCTATTCACCGTGCATCTTACCGCGCGACAAAAAGTCTATTCATTTATAAAAATATTATACTATTATGTATAGCCAACAAGCCGTAAAACTGCAATATTAAGAGTGGGTCGACTGACAATACGCCGACTCAACCCTCAAACGACACATACTGTTCGGTCTCGCCGAATATACGTATGTAAATACAAAATTTCGTCACTACCAAATGGAGAGAAAGCACAGCCCGTTTGCATTCTATTCTTGGACCCCAAACAGATCGTACATGGCCCCGGGGTTCAATCGTCATATTGGGTCAAGAACATCAATGAAACTTGGGCACTTGTGCAAACCGATTACTGAGCATGTTCACAGATAATGCGAGGTTGAATAAACAAAAGAGAATAACGAGTAGCATGTATAAAAGAAGTTGTTGAATATTGAGAGCCACAAGTCCAGTTGTTTCAATTTTTTCTACTTAAATATGAGGATCATTTCAATTATTGCCATTTTAAATATTGTGTTCGTAGAGGCCAGCGTATGTCCCGACGCGCAAACGGCGGCTGGACGTAGGTTTTTGGACGATCCAATTGTCTTTAGGCCTTTTAAAATACCGGGAAGTCTTAAAATAGCAAACGGTAAAAGATGAAAAATCCATGGCTTTTGACTGAATTACTTTATTGAAAAAAATCACCGAACTTAAGCCTGCTGTAAAGAAGCTTCGTTTGCCGAAATTAAGACGAACTTATATCCTTCTTTTCAGCGTGCTTCGAAGGAGAATGCATTGATGGTTACACCTGTACGAATGGCGGATACTGCTGTATGTGTAAATTATTTGGTGTTTCGTATTTACTGCATAGCAATTTCGCATCAAATTATACGATGATTCTTCTCATACCCAATTTCAGGCCCCATAGTCGAAAGAGTAGCCGCCGTTCTAGATTCTTCATCTTCATCCGATGATGTTATTCGTCTTCATACGAAGACTACAACCAGAAAAAAGTTCACTCTGACGCTTCCTGTCGATTGTAAGGATGGTGCGGTGAACTGCGGCATGTTTACGGGCTATTGCCGTCCCGGAACTGAATACTCGTCGTGCATGCAGACACATTGCCGGAAAACCTGCGGATACTGCGTCCAGGGATGATTGTAAAAATTTGCACTGCCTATTTAAAGATCCTTGAAACACGATTTTTGAGTCACTGAATCAGCCGTGGACATACAATAGAAAAAAAACGATTTTGAGAATTTTGTTTTAAAATGGCCGAAGGTGCCCTGCTAACACATTACCGAAATATTTTTGCCCATTCTTCTGTTAACCTACCGTAATTTGCAAAGAATTGTATGCTTATTAACAAATGTAAAAATAAGCTGTGGCACTTCAGAAAGAAATTTTTTATGGCCGTTTTTTTGCGGCCGAAGAACGGTTTTGCTCTGTTACAGTAACCCGATCGCCAAAATTCCACTTCCGTTGGAATGACAAGGTACCAAAACCTATACATCACCGTTTTTAAACCATTTACGATGCGTATTTGTTGAGTAAAACCCGATTACTGTAAAATCACACCTTTGTATTTAAATTACGGTAGGTTAACGGGGGAATTAGGCAAAAATACTTCCGTAATGTGTTAACAGATTACCTCCGGCCATTTTATAGCAAAAAACTCAAAATCAATTTTTTCTTCTATGGCACACCTTCAGTGACTCAGAAATCGTGTTTTTACATGTAAAGCAAAGATGCCTAGTGCTACGTAGGGCTTCTGGTTTTATGATAAATAGCTGAAATTTACTGATAATCGATAAACAATATATGCATATAATACTTGATCTTCTGACTCTTTAATATAACGCTACGAAATTTTGATTAGATCTGCTCCAAGTGACAATTTGTCTTAAGTTAAGAGTGCTTTCCTCAACGTATCAGTAATGGTAACAAAGCACTTCTTTCTCATGTTTGCTGTAAAAGTTCAGTCTAAACTTTTTTTCGGAAAATAGTAGTCAATTAACAGCCGCGCTGTGGGTCATGAATATCAGAAAAGTAGCAGTATATGTATACAAATCAGCAGGCTTTTAGATGTCCGTATTTGATGTATATCCATATCCGGAAAAATGAGGATACGTGACTGACTGCCTATGACGCTGGTCCCTCTCGGGAAGCCGTCCAAACTACAACAAAATCCAAAAATAACAACGAATTTTTATTATGGTCGACTTTGGAGACTTAGATAAAGTTTATTAGAGAGAATATTTACAAGAGTTATGAAGAGGTGGAAGCTTCCTCGATTGATTTCGAGGGCAGCTTATTTAGTAGCCTGAGTTATCGCAAATACATTGTAATTTGGGTTGAACAAATTCCAAACTTAGTTTTCTATGTACCCAGTTTCTTCTGAGTCCATTTGTGTCCTCGTTCAGTTTGGTAATCCGGATGTTATCGATCATTAGTTCCTCTGTGTTTGACGCACGCAATGCGCGTGGTCATTAACCTTGATCAATGGTGCAGGACCGCACCGAACCCCGGGCTGGGTCCCGCCGCGAAACCTAACGCACCGTTGGAAAGTGAGAAGAAGAGGATCCGGAGAGCCGAGTGGCAGGCGGTTGGATTCGAACGATAGGACAGATCGGGAGACGGTTGGCAAGGATAAGCTCCGCCAGTCTACACTTTGGTTTTGCATTTACGTGATTGTATCGACCCTTCCTCTGGATAAACGGGTTTATATTTATTATTGGTGTTGTTTTATTCCTTTGGATAGTTCCGCTGGGATATTTGGGAATTTGGTGTGGCTTTCGGGGACTCCGTGAACTTCTATCAGGAGGGCCTTTGAACCACTTGGCGACCACGCGGCGACCACGCTGCGGGAGACGTAGGCCGATAGCGATTGGATTTTTAGGTAAGTTTTTGTTGGTTTTTGTTTGGCTTTTTAGGCTTGAAGAGATAGAGAATCTTTTTTGATTCTCTTGAGGGTAAAGCAAGAGTTACCCGAAATCTCGACTCGCGATTTATTCGTGAGGATATCTCGGAGGGATCCTAAGTGCTCCCGAAGAGATCAGAGTGTGACCGAACGTAAGAGAAGGGCACTCTGAGTCGAATTTCACCTCCGGAAGAGCGGTGAAATCGACGCTGGGACTCGTTCTTGAGAAACCCGGCCTTGTGTTACCTAAATAATAGTAGGTCAACACAAGCAATTCTGTCTCGAAATAAGATAAGAGCAGAATTGAGAGACAGCTTCCGTCTGAATAAATACCGGAACCTGTTTTGGCAAGAGTAACATTGAACTCCTTAGCCAAGTTGTCGTCTGGGTAACGACTGGACCTGTCCGTAGCAAGTATAATATCGGACCTTTTGTCAAACTTGAATCCATCAACAGATTCAAGTTAGAAGAGCTGTATTGAGACCTTTTGAGCAACGAGAAACGAATTTTTCTCGAAAATAATTTGCGAAATTGCGAGAATTTTGTGATTTGATATTGTTTTAGGTATCAAATCGGAATTGTTTGAGAAAGTTTTTGAAAATTGTATTTGCTTTGAAACTTTGTGTTGTCTTGTCAAGAGTTTCGTGTAGTACGTGTTCGTATATAATTTGCGTGATTGCATTCGTGATTTCCGCGAATCCATTGATCTAATTCTACTCTTTGCAGAATCGGAGACTCGAGTTGCCAAGAATCACAACTCCGGACCAGAACCTTGACAAGTGGACTTGAAGTGAGTGTTTTGAATTAGTGCCTTGTCATTTAGAAAAGAATGGAACACGGGGATAGCAAAGGGGGTGGAAATGAGGTCATGGAAGACATATTAAAATTCATGAAAGAGCAGAAGGAAAAATCGGATAGGACCTTGATTGAGGTACAAAAACAGGCTGAGGAAGATAGAAAGAAAATAGAAGAGTTAACCAAATCCGTTCACACTTTATTAGCTCAAAGCGAGACAAAGCAGCCGCAGAGCGAAAGCATTTCTTTTGCGCCGCGCCTAGAGAGTCCGCCGGCTAGAAGCGGGGGATCAGTTGCCGATCTTATTTTTATAGAAATGCGACTCCCCACGTTGACGGGGAAAGAGAAACAAAGCGAAGTAGTCAGTTTCTTCTACAAATTTCGCGCGGGGACTGTAAATCACACCACGCAAGAAAGGAGGGATCTCCTTGAAGCCAAGGTAGCGGGAAAAGCAGCTCGGTTGTGGGAACACACGAGCATGGCTTCGGAAAGTAGCGACTTTGATCAAAACTTAGCTGAATTTGAGAATGAGCTGAAAAGTAGAGCAGCGGATCACAGGGATTGGACTTCGATTTATCTCAAACCTTTCATCCGAGGGAACAATATGTCTATTCGGGAATATGCTGATCAGATAAGCGACATCACTATCAGAGCATTTGCTGGCGCACCTAAACATATACTCGAAAAACACATGATCTCGAAATTTATGGCTGGATTAAATCATAGAGAAGCTAGCATCGCACTTGCCGCGGAATTGCATAAAAACCTCCCCTTCGAAGAGATGGTTAAGATTGCCACCAATGTGTATGAATACAACAAAGGAAACTGGTATCAACCCCAGCAAAATCCATCATTTGAAGCTGAGAATTTCTTAAACAGTCATGCTCCAGCGCATCTAAGTGCCTTTTGGGACGGTCCGTCTCAAAATAATCGATCAATTCCTCAACCAACGGTTGATAACGTAGGTCCAATTGCAAATCAGCATCAGGATTTTCACCTACCCGGCCTGCAATAAATTCGCGCAAGCCAGAGTCGGGTGAATCCGTCAGCAGTTTTAAAGCGCGATTATTTTGTCAGTATTGCAATGGAGGAGAACATTTAGAGAAGGATTGTCACAAACGGAAGGATTATTTGAAACAGCTCAGAGAGAAGGCATTAGCAGCTCGGGTAAATTATAAAGCGAATAGAGGATCTTCAATCGTTCCGCAAATCATCTCAGTTGGTCCAGTGGAGCAAGAACCACATGAGAATTCTGAAGTTAAAATTACGGCAAGCTGCACGATAAACAAAATTGAGAGTCTGAGAGAAAAACCCGAACTGAAATCACGTCAGGAACCTTTTACATGCTCAAATCTTGAGGAATCGAGTACACGTAACGATGAACTCGAATCCGGAGATCTCGAGACATTATTCGCTGAGCCCGAGATTTCACGTCTACCCTCAAAAGTCCACCAACAGACAGACTACACATTGGAGTTGTCAAAATCCGCGTTCATGAGTTGGAAACACGAGAAGAAGAGAATAATTCCGAGTTTTAAAGAGATCCTGGACAATTCCGTCTACGAAAAATGGTTTAGTACTACTGCCCTTGAGATCAAAGACCCGAAAGTCAATGTTGACATCCCGAAGGAAGATACTTTCGAGAGTTTTGAGAAGAGAAATAAACTTTTCGCAAAAATTTTGCCAAGAGTCAATCAAAATATTCAAATTCCTGGTAATTGCCTAGATGATAATATGTTTATGAAGTCATTTCTTCCTGCTAAGGGCTGCAAATTTAAGTTCTTGGAGGAAAATCACAGTTTCAATGGTGATTTCGACAAGAACAACTCGATAGAATGGTCGTATTCCTCGCGAATTGAAGGAAAGGGAACCAAATTTAAATGTTCGGAGATTTACGTCATCCGTGCGGCTAACTTGACCGTAAATTGCTATTTTAGTATGGAAATACCGTATTTTGTTGTAGTATCTTGTATAATTTTAAAGGTATTTCAATTTTTGATTCGTAAATTCACTATTTACTTATTTTGTTCCGGAAAAACATCAACTCGTACCCTATTTCAGGATCCCATAAAATATCCTGAAAACCCGGAACTTACGTTTTGAAGTCGAGGACGACTTCAGATGTTTAGGGGGGAGCTTGGGGGTTATTTAGGATATTTTAGGGATTTTTAGGGACTTTTATTCACTTGTAATCACTTTTAATTTCAGACTTCGACTACATTCACCAATACCAAACCAGATCGGACAAGTCCCAGGAGAAACCAATCAACTTCCCCAACGGCGCATCGACTTCAATGACATCGGGGACGATGCCAACTTGGTTAGGGGGCGAATGGTGCAGGACCGCACCGAACCCCGGGCTGGGTCCCGCCGCGAAACCTAACGCACCGTTGGAAAGTGAGAAGAAGAGGATCCGGAGAGCCGAGTGGCAGGCGGTTGGATTCGAACGATAGGACAGATCGGGAGACGGTTGGCAAGGATAAGCTCCGCCAGTCTACACTTTGGTTTTGCATTTACGTGATTGTATCGACCCTTCCTCTGGATAAACGGGTTTATATTTATTATTGGTGTTGTTTTATTCCTTTGGATAGTTCCGCTGGGATATTTGGGAATTTGGTGTGGCTTTCGGGGACTCCGTGAACTTCTATCAGGAGGGCCTTTGAACCACTGATCTCCTTTGATGTGGTCTCCTGTGACCGTTCCTTTCGTAGCGTCGCGGTGGTGTCCACGCACGGCAACCCAGGGAGTCTCCCGCCTCGTTTCGGCACTTCGCCCACCTAGTATCGGTTGAATTCAAACGAAATGTCAAAAATGAATTTTTCGTGTGGTTTTCCGACCGAAGAATATTTTTCTCGGAATTATTTTATTTCTTTTGTGAATTTTGACACTTCGTTTGAACGAAATTCAAAAGTGGGCGGGAGACATTTTTGTTCTATTTTGGGTTGCCGTGCCACGTGCTTTCCGCGAGGCTTCCATTTTCGACTATTACATTTTGTTCCCTTTAATCTCTTCTACATCATTTTCCTTTCTTCCGTCCGTCTGCTTCTCCAAGTTTCAACAAGCAAGAAACAGCAATTTTTTTGGTCCGTGCAGTTCTGTTCCGCTAACAAAGCCCTTTGACTGTGTCAGCGGAGTGTCAGAGGAGTTGGCCAAACACGATTGCTACAAACGACGTGTGTGTAAACCGTTTAAGGGTTCAGCTATTATTAGACAACCGTGTTTGTTGGTTTTCATAGACCGTGTGAGCTTCACGCGGTTTGCATAGCCGGCGGCGCTCAAAAAATGCATTACGCGGCATTCAGTAAGTCGGATACGAAGCAACCCAAGTGATCTGCAATTACAGTGAGGACAATACGTAATACTGAAACAACGCGCTCGCAGAAAATGGATATAACAAAGAAATAACACGGGAATTGACAAGTCTATAGTTATCAGTCTGTCGGAAAAATAACGGCGGATCGTCGCAGAAAAATGCCTCGCCTCGCCTCTATCGCGCGACAAATCTTCAGCTTCGGCAGCCGTCGCAAAGCGATGACGGGCGATTCCGAGGCCCGATGATCCGCCGTTATTTTTCCGACAGACTGATACTAGTCGCGGAAAAAGGCCTGGGAATTTCTCGCGGCCGTCGCGCTCCGAAAAGTTGATTTTTCGCTGCGAAACGCGGGAATCGCGCGCGACAATAAGGCAAAATCAACAAAATTGCACTGTGCAAATGCACTTTTCGGGTTCATGCACAGTGCAGAGTCGCCGAAAATTCCCAGGACTTTTTTCCGCGACTAGTACCCCATAAACCAGGCATGAGAGAAACACAAGCGACAGCGGATAATATTCTATAACCCCTTCTCTGCAATCCACGGAAATTTGGTAGAATCATTGTGTTGCGGTGGTAAAATTGGTTCTTACGGCAGCTGAAATTGTCTAGGCAGGTTTCGTTACATAGGGGTTTGGGGCGCTTCGGTAGTTCAGCCCCCCACGAAAGGTAGTTCAGCCCCCCACTGTTTTGCCCATTTCACACCCCCATAATGAAAAAATTAGAATAATAAAAAAAGTGCAAATGAGATTAAAATCTTAATTCTGAAACGATTCATTCATTCTTCTTGTTCTTCCCCTTGGAACCGGTCGGCATGTCACAAATCTCTACTTTGGAACAGATCACCAACCTCGTCTCTTCTGATGGTCTCATTGGTGCTCTGCAGGCTCTTGGTTGTCTGCCCAAAGACCCTTGTTGCGAGAAATGTGGGCACATTATGGTATTACGTACTCGGGGCCGTTCTATGGATAAATACGAGGTATAGTGTGCATATGTACTTCTTCAGTTATAGTTTCGGTGCCGCAAAGAGGGAATTAGAATGTTTAGTAGTAGAACGTTTAGATCAAGCCCCCTACGTTTTAGATCAAGCCCCCTACGTTTTAGATGAAGCCCCCTACGTTTTAGATCAAGCCCCCTACGTTTTACAAATTAGAATAATTCTTGGGAATAAATTTTGGGGGTACGGAATGGACGTGGGGGGCTGTACTGGGGCATGGGGGGCTGAACTGGACTGGGGGGCTGTACTACCTTAGCCCCGGGGTTTGGTCTAAAACGTAGGGGGTTGGATGTAAAGGTGGTCATATAAGAATTCACATTGTTTTCCCAAATCGCGATTTTCGGTGCACCAAAAAGTCGACGCCCAAATCGAAAAATTGGCGTCAACTTAAGACCCCGATTTTTAACTCGGCACCCAATCCCAAAATTTTTAAAGTGTGCACCAAATTCCGGAATTCGGTGCAGACTTAGCTTTTTGGGGGAACAGTTGACCCATTTTATATTCCTGCTCCACAGGGAACTAGACATGGCTGGGGGGCCGGGCCGGGCCGAAAATCGCGGCCCGGCCCGGGGGCCGGAAGAGGTCGGCCCGGCCCCGGCCCCCTTCAAATTTTGGGGGCCGAACTGTAAATATAAATACTGCATTCGTTGCGAGATATAACACATTTTTTTGGGGCTTTGGTAGTTCAGCTCCCCGCGAAAGGTAGTTCAAACCCCCACTGTTTTGCCCATTTCACACCCACCGTAATTAAAAAATTAGAATTATACAAAAAATGCAAATTAGAGTAAAATGACCCCAGGCATTTTAGTTCAAAGCCCCAGTTACCGTCCAAATTCGTATTTGTGGTTCAGGCAACGATGATCGTAGCCGAGAGAACCCAATACCGAGTAGGCGCTTCAGATTGGATGAGGGGGGTTTATACTGGGTCCAAGGGGGCTGAACTGGGCTATCGAGTTGTACTACCTTAGCCCCCATTTTTTTGTTATAACAAGCGACAATAAATTTTTGAAACAAAAAATTACCAACCATTGCCTAAAGTACTTCAAAAACCCAATCGGTTCTTGGCTCTGCGTTTTATTTTTATTGGCAACCCTAATTTTCGCTTTGATACTGAGAATTTTAGTCATTGGGGGCCGACCGGGGGCCCCCGGTCGGCCCGGCCCGGGGGCCGGAAGAGGTCGGTCCGGCCCCGGGGCCTTTAAAACTCGTTCGGCCCGGCCCGGCCCACTAGCCATGTCTACAGGGAACTCGGATTTACTTATAAAAACTTTTATTTACTTATAGGTAAAAATATTTCCCAAAAATTCACTTATAAGTTAAAAAAAGGCGGAGCCTATTTTGATTTACTTATAAGAAATTTTATTTACTTATAAGAACTTTTATTTACCTATAATTACCAATAAGGACTCCGAAAAGAAAACAGTTGAGCGCCAAAGACGCTTTTGGCTTTTTGAACGCATGGACCAGACTTAGAAATTCTAAGTTTTTCGGAGCAGTACTGGTCAATGAAGGTGCATAAGGGTATTTATACCTTGGATGGAACAAGGTAAGGTACTTTTAGTGAGTTTTTTCTTTCAGAACTGTAAAAAGTGGACAGATGAAAAATCCTGAACATAAGAAACTCTCGAATTGAAAGCACGTCAACATGGAAGAGCAGGCAGCCTCGGAAGATCTAGGAACAAGCATGATCAACCAAGAATTTAGATGAAGAACCCTTTCATCAAGTTTGGTAGGTTTTTTAAACTGCTTCCACATTTCAGAAGGCTAGAAACTTTTTAGGAGAAGGTTTTGTTATGTTGTACTAGGTCCAGGTGAACCGCTAGTTTTCAGATAATCACGAAACTTGTCACGGAGGAGGTAAATCGACAACGTGAACACGATGCCTGGAAAAATGGCTCCCGTATGCTTCAGGTATGTTGATAATATTCGCCTGGACCTAGTACAACATGACAAACTTGATGTCTTGAAATCTGTCATTGCCAAATTTCTGATCCTCAAACTAATTTTTGGGATGGAAACGCACAAAAAATGAGTTCAAGGGCAGCTCGTAATAAACTATCTCCGAAAATTTTATTTTCTTTTTCTTTATCTTTGACTATTTTCAGTGCATCTAGCCGCAGGAGTACCCATAGAAAATCCGCACAGAAGCAATCCTTGCCTCGTCAGGGCACAGAAGATGCGCTAACCACATGTGTAACCGGTAAAATATCAGAGTCAGGTTGTTTTTTCTTTGTTTGAATAAATTTTTATCTATCCTACACTGTGCATAATTTTCTGTTACCTATAAGTATTTATAATTACCTATAAGTGAATTTCCCGGGCGCCGAAAATAAAAATTACCTATAAGTGATTTGAAAATCACTTATAAGAACTTTTATTTACTTATAAAAACTTGAAGTTTTTTTTGCTTTTCGCCAATCTTCAAGATATATTTTATGAATGAAGACAAGATGGAATTAGTCCAAAAAGGGAATTTTTACCAAGAACAGGCTGCCCCGTTCGATTTGATGCCTAGATTTCCCGTTTTCTGCTCGGATAATTAAAGCGGGAGATAAAAGATTTTCTGAAAAATTTTTGAAATTTTTCTGTTTTTACTTTTTTTTTAAAAAAAAAGTAAATTTTGAAAAATTTCCGGAAATTTTCGATTTCGGAGAGTCAAAAAACATTCTTACTCCGAACGACAAATTTTTGGAAAGTTGGATCAAAAATGGCTCGCCAAAAGGTCGATCCGCAAAGTTGAAACAAAAATGGCTCGCCCATTTTGGCTGGTGAGTAGGATGCCGTTTTTACTCACCTGCACGCCAATTTATTTTCTTCAAAACTATTTTTGCGAGCTGCGCCCGGGAATTCCAGATGTGTCAAATTTCTCTCTCCCGGAAGAAACGTTTTGATTTTTTTTGAAGTTGTGAATCTATTTTCTCCACGAAGATGGGCTGAAAAGTGATCAAGTAAGTTAGCATTAGCAAGAGGAGATGTACTTTTTTCATTTGACACCAAAAATTTTCCTTTTATTTCAGAGAAAGGTACAAATTTTTTCCAATTCGTAAAGCTTCATGACCATGGATAATGTAAGTGCGCTTATCGCGTTTTTCGTTCCGTTATTGGAGTTAACAGTTCTAGGCTGGCGAGTTCTAGAGGACACCTCACTTTAGTTTTGTTATATACTCTATCTATCAAACGCCACCAATTTCGATTTCTAGGTGTCATGTACAATATCGAAATCCGCTCAGATCTGCCGGATTTTTGCCACGAATGCGTTCTAAACTGAGGTAATAACGTAATAAGGCTCAAATAACGTTGTTACAATAACTTGAAGATAGTTTGCATAGGTTTTACTTTAGTATAACATACTTTTGGAAAGTTAGTATAGTATTTGAAACTTTTACGTCGTTATTCCTCAAAATTTATGGGGTTTCATACATGGAGAATATACATGAGAGTGGGGTCTCCTCTAAACGTTTCCCGACTTAGAATCTTGACGTCGTAGCAAAAAAGGAGATAATCTCACTTACATTATCCATGGTCATGAAGCTTTACGAATTGGAAAAATTTTGTACCTTTCTCTGAAATAAAATGGAAACTTTTGATGTCAAATGAAAAACGTACATCTCCTCTTGCCAATGCTAACTTACTTGACCACTTTCCAGCCCATCTTCGTGGAGAACATAGCTTCACAACGTCGCACAAACGTAAAAATAATTTTTTCGGAAGAGAAAAACTTGACACATCAGGGAAAGACTTGGCATCAACCTTGCAACCTGCAGTGCGGGGCCAAAAAGAGGAATAAAGTAAAAACAAGCTCTGACTTTCGGCGACTCCGAGAGGGGAGTAAGATCCGGTCCTACTCCCGACCTTGAAGTCGGAAAGCCAGAAACAAAATTGACTTTTTTTTGCATTTTCCTTGAAGTAAACTGAAAATTTACTTTTTTTTTAAAAAAAAAGTAAAAACAGAAAAATTTCAAAAATTTTTCAGAAAATCTTTTATCTCCCGCTTTAATTCACCAAATTTTGGAATGTTGTGGTGTTTGTTGTACCATGGATAGTGTGAGTCGACTTTCCTATTTTTTGTGCAAACTCGCCAAAAAATGGACAGATATAGGTTTAGGAGTGGCCACTAGGTTAATTATACCGTGAACATAGGACTAATTTTAAGGAATAGCAGCTGGACCGAGGGGACAAATACGTGAAGCAAGTACAACATAAAAATTTGGTGAAACTCGATGTTTCTGGTTCGAAATTTATATTACAATGAAGCTAAAAGCCTGTTCTACCTTTTGCCATAATTTGGTTTTCAAACAGCACAAAAAATGGGAAAACTTTTTTGTGCTCCCAAAATCGCGATTTGGGAAAACAAATTGTGAATTCTTATATGACCACCTTTATGTACAACGTTGGGGGTTTAATATACTAAAAATAGTACATTTAGTATTGACCACGACGGCCTGAATGTGAACAAAAACACCATGGAGGGATGCTGAAACGGGCAAAACAGTGGGGGTTTGAATTACCCTTCTTGTGGGGCTGAACTTGGAAAGACCCAAATATTATACTCTTATAATAAACAAGCCGTAAAACTATATTATTAAGAGTGGACTGACCCACTGACAATATGCCAACTCATCCCTCAAACTACAAATACTCTTCCGGCCTAATATACGTATGTAAATACAAAATTTCGTCACTACCAAATGGAGAGAAAACACAGGCCGTTTGCATTCTATTCTGGGAGCCCGAACAGGTCGTACATGGCCTCGGGGTTCAATCGTCATATTGGCTCAAGAACATCAATGAAACACGGGCACTTGTGCAAACCGATCACTAAGAATGTTCGCAGATAATGCGAGGTTGAATAAACAAAAGAGAATAACGAGTAGCATGTATAAAAGAAGTTGTTGAATATTGAGAGCCACAAGTTCAGTTGTTTCAATTTTTTCTACTTAAAAATGAGGATCGTTTCAATTGTCGCTACTTTAAATATTGTGTTCGTAGAGGCCAGCGTGTGTCCCGACGCGGGAACGGCGGCTGGACGTAGGTTTTTGGGACGATCCGGTCGTCTTAGGGCCTTTTAAAATAACGGGCAGTCTTAAAATAACAAACGGTGGAAGATGAAAAATCCATGGCTTTTGACTGAATCACTTTATTGAAAAAAATCACCGAACTTAAGCCGGCTGTAAAGAAGTATCGTTTGGAAATTAAGACGAACTTATATCCTTCTTTTCAGCGTGCTTCGAGGGAGAATGCAATGATGGTTACACCTGTTCGGATGGCGGATACTGCTGTATGTGTAAATTATGCGATGCTTCGTATTTGCTGTATAGCAATTTCGCATCAAATTATACGATGATTCTTCTCATACCCAATTTCAGGCCCCACAGTCGAAAGAGGAGGCGTTCAAGATGATTTGTCGAAAAACATCTTTCAACAAATTACATTCCCAAATCCATTTAGGGCATTTTCTACCATAAGGTATACTGTGATGACTCCCGTGCCTTTCGGTTGTAACGATGGTGCGTTGAACTGCGGCATGTATATGGGCTATTGCCGTTCCGGTCAATACTCGTATTGCATGCAGACACATTGCCGAAGAACCTGCGGATACTGCTTTGGGTGATTGTAAAAATTTGTACTGCCTATTTAAAGATCTTTAACATGTAAAGCAAAGATGCCTGGTGCTACGCTGGGCTTCTGGTTCTATGATAAATAGCTGAAATTGACTTATAGTCGATGGACAATCTATGCATGTAACACTTGATCTTCTGCCTCTTTAATATAACACTACGAAATTTAGAGGGGCTTTGGTAGTTCAGATTGGATGAGGGGGTTTGTACTGGGTCATGGGGAGCTGAAATGGACTGGGGGGTTGTGCTACCTTACAAGGGAAGTCGTTCAGATCGCAAATGAATTGAGCTATGGGACCGGTATATTCTGATTCTCCATATTCGAAAACGGTAAGAGCTAAAACAATTTTTCCGTTTTCGAGAAAATCGACCGTAAAGTTTGACCGAAGACCCCGCTAAATAGTCCTCGCTCCAAAAGAGCTTTGGATCAAGAGCCAAATGGCGGAGGGAGAGTGGAAACGCTCTCAAAATTCTTTTGTCCGTGATTCCGGGAAAGGTTCGAGTCCCGCTAGGCTCAAACGCATGTTCAAAGAGCTTTGATATTGAAAATGATAAAAAATTAAAATTTTTTAGTTTTTTGTGGTGGAGTGTACCCCAAGAATTTCAGATCAAATAGTTTGTTAGGAATAAACACTTCATTTTTGAGTTCAGCGCAGAAATATGCCTATTTGACATGCATTTCAATATTTTCTCCAAAGTATGTAAAAGGAAAAATAATCTTGTTTGCTTTGCAACCGTTATGAATTAGGGTTTGCTCCAAGCGGGACTCGAACCTTCCCCGGCATCCCGGGCAAACGAATTTTGAGAGAGTTTTCACTCGCCCTCCGCCATTTGCCTCTTGATCCAAAGGTCTTTCGGAGCGAGGACTATTTAGCGGGGCTTTTTACGGTCAAACTTTACGGTCGATTTTCTCGAAAACCAGGGCCCAGACGAAAAAATTGTTTTAACTCTTACAGTTTTCGAATATGGAGAATCAGAATATACCGGTTCCATAGCTCAACTCATTTGCGATCTGAACGACTTCCCTTGTTAGCCCCAATTTAGATTAGATCTGCTCCATAAGTGACAATTTGTCTTAAGTTAAGAGTGCTTTCCTCAACGTATCAATAGTGGTGACAAAGCACTTCTTTCTCATGTTTGCTGTAAAAGTTCAGTCGAAACTTTTTTTTCGGACGATAGTAGTCAATTAGCAGCCACGCTGTGGGTCATGAATATCAGAAAAGTAACAGTATACGTATCCAAATCAGCACGCTTTAGGATGTCCGTATTTGATGTATATCCATATCCGGAAAAATGAGGATACGTGACTGACTGCCTATGACGCTGGTGTCTCTCGGGAAACCGTCCAAACTACAACAAAATTCAAAAATAACAGTGATTTTTGGTCCCTTTAATCCCGTCTGCATCATTTTCCTTTCTTTCGTCCGTCTGTTTCTCCAAATTTCAACAAGCAAGAAACAGCAATTTGTTTGGCCCGTGCAGTTCTGTTCCGCTAACAAAGCCCTTTGACTGTGTCAGCGGAGTGTCGGAGGAGTTGGCCAAACACGAAACACGACGAGTGTGTAAACCGTTTAAGGTTCAGCTATTATGGGGCATGTTTAAACAGAGAATGTCAGACCCATGGGGTCATATAAAACGGGTGGAATGCGAGGCAATGACGACAAGGTCGGGCCCGGTCTCACAATGCGTTCCATCACGATTGCGCTGACTTCAATTCTCATCACAATTGCTGAAACAAGTGTTTGCCCGGACGCTGGAACCGCAGCGGGACGTAAGTGGAGCGTAGTTTTATGACTAAAACTGAGCTGGATTCTTTGAGCTAGCCGAATACCGGTAATCGTCATGCGGGGTGAAATTTGCTTGGCAAACCGTCCGATCTCTTGAGGGGTTTTAGTGCCGTAAAAGTTAACTGACAGAGGTGCAACGCTGCACGTCAAACTGACAGTGAGGAGTCCGGTGACCGGAATAGACCCTTCGCTATCGCTTTTTTACACTTCGGCTTGATTTCGCAGAGAAAGAGAGAAAAAATACACGCAAAAACGTACTCTCTCGCCCCAAAAATTCCCCATTTCTCCCCCGACAAAACGTTTTTTCGCGTCTTTTTTGGCAAATTGTCAATCCATTCACCGGACTGTTTTAGCTTATCTCAGCTTGACGTGCGCTGTCCTGGAGGCTAGCAGTGCTTGTGTTCCTTTGATACTCAATTCTTAGCCAAATCTAAGGGGAATTTGAACCTTTTTATAATCTTTTTGTACCCAAGAGAACACCTGGCATATCAGTCTGTCGGTAAAATGATGCACACAATGTAGATGCATTATGTAATGTTTGATTGTATCATCTTCTTGATATTTTCAGCCTGCTTCGAAGGAGAGTGCAATGACGGCTACATCTGTTCCGACACCGGCTTCTGTTGTAAGTCCAGCTCTTTTGGCAGCGCTATACCTGTTCCCTCCGTTAATACAGTCATTGATTTTAGGCCCAGAGGTCCAAAACTTTGACGTCCAAGCCGACAGCTCCGACAAAAAGAAGACGACGAAGAAGTTGACGACAAAGAAGCTTTCGACGATAAAAATTCTTTGCGTAGACGGAGCACTGAACTGCGGCATGTTCGTTGGTTATTGTGCGCCCGGAAGTATGTATACATGGTGCATGTACTCACACTGCCGCCGTACCTGCGGATTATGCTAATTCGACATACATATAAAACGGGTTTGATAAAGATTTGTGGCTCCGTTGCATGGAGTATGCAAGATGTGATTTCATCGATTCAAAGAACATTTATTAAAAATATATAATAAAAAATGGTATCTGGAGTTTCGTAACTTGTATTTTTTATGGATATAATTTGCTAACTGTGACAAGGGAAGTTCTCTTGTCACGACCTCGTGTGCGAATCTGCATATTCCTACGGAATGAACGACAAGTTGGTATAAAAGTAATGGAAATCTTACAATCGGTCAGCTGTGTTTGGAACAATAGATATGTATATTCCTATTTTGTCTATTGTACTGTCGTTTGACATGTAAAGCAAGGATGCCTGGCGCTACGTAGGGCTTCAGGGGGCAACGAAAGTTACCTACAAGGTTCCTGTGGTGACTACCATCATTCCTTCGGGTTGTAATGATGGTGCGTTGAACTGCCGCATGTTTATGGGCTATTGCCGCCCGGCACTCAAGACTTATAATCGATAAACAAAATATGCATATAACACTTGATCTTCTGCCTCTTCTTAATAACACCACAAAATTTAAATTAGATCTGCTCCATATGTGACAATAGGTCCTAAGTCAAGAGCGCTTTCGTCAACGTATCACTAATGGTGACAAAGCACTTCTTTCTCATGTTTGCTGTAAAAGTTCAAAGTCTAAATTTTTTTTCGGGAAATAGCAGTCAATTAGCAGCCATGCTGTGGGTCATGAATGTTTGTTTGGTCATTATGTGTAGCAGTATTGTGCTTGGGATCTTAGAAACCTAGAATAGGGAGCCTCATCCACGTGCAACACGTGAAATTATAAATGCGACGATAAGATTTTCTTTTCTATTTGGCGCACACGTCGGTACACACAACGCGGTCAGGGGAAAAACGTTTTGGCCCTATCTTTTCAAGTTTTTTCTGGGAGAAAATTGGTTTTTTATGGAGATGCCACCCTCTTCTTTTCAAGCCACAATTCACCTCAATCATGTCTTCAAAGCGCGAGATAAATTTTTGTGATCTTTTACGATGTGAGGAAAACTATTTGCATCTAAAAATGAGTCTTCATTCACATCTCGTGTAAAGATTTAGCTGTTAATTCAAGTCGTTCTAAAACCTCCTGCCAAATATATTATTTACAATCAAAACAAAGCTCTATTCCGAGTTTATTAGCATTCTGGCACCGTTAGAAACTGTATAGGAGAGATATGTATATATTACACAAGAGTTTACGCCACAAACAGATTATCCCTTGGCACAGAAGCCGCAGGTCCTGCCGCAATGCTGAATCATACAGAGTAAGTAATCGTTGAAGGCACAGTAAGCAACAAACATCCCGCAATTGATAGCGCCATCCACACACAACGGATTGAATGTGCTGGAAACGGTGGTGGGCGTTGTTGGTGTGGTGGGTGTGGTGGCGGCGTCATCGTCTTGAACGTCTGCTTGCTGGGCGTCTAGCGCTTGAGCACAACACACACTGTTAAGGCACTCATAGCCGGACAAGCATTTTCCCGATATACAAGCTGGAAATGTTGGGGTTAAACACGATTTTTGAAGGATTTAAGTGAGCATATGGTTTAGTAAGAGTGACTCAGAGTTTTAAAATTAACAAGGGAAGGCTTCCAAGTGCAACGTTTTTTTTACTATGCAAATACATAGTGCATCCGCCAAATAAATATTATACTGACCCTAACTTTGCTAATTTCGGGACATACAGGTTGATTTTTTTTGAAACATTTCCTTCCACAGTAGCAATAGACATGAATTTTTTCATGCCAAATTTCGCAAAAGGTGCCATAAAAATCTCGGTCGTTTTTGCAAAGCGCGGGGCTAGCAGTCCGTAGACTTTCAGACTCTAAACTTGTGAAAAGTTTTGTCAGAATCTGAGCGTCGGGCTTGAAGTACTTTCGCTGCTGTAAGCTTTATGTACAGCATATTCAACAGCTTTTTTTGGGAAAGAACGTTCAAGGCGAGGGTCGTTAAACAACTTGGAAGGCCAAGCCTTCCCAGGACGTTTTATTTTTGACATTTCTGGGGCTCTAACGTAAAATATTTTTGCAAAAAATCGGCCCCGTGCCTTCGTTTGACATTGATGCAAGCAGCATTTCAAGAATGCCCGTATAAAATTTTTGCCTCTATAGGTCAGCTAACTTACGTCCATTGGATTCTGCTCCATTAATGCAGGCACTGCCCGCCACCTCTTCCACAACCATCAATGCCAAGACCAGAAAGATACGGTGCATCCTGCAAAAATCACTTCCGCTCACCTCTTCTGGAGCCGCTCTCCAACCCGATATGGCCGAAATTCCACAGCGGGCCGGAATTTAATGACGCGAACGGCCGCTGCAAGACAATGAAAAACACTGCCTCCAACATGTTTGTACAAATGCAAAATCAGTCCTTTCGGCCACAATGGGAGTTCAGGGGAAAAAATATGCTCGCGGAATGGCGAGTAGCACAAGCCATCAGTGGTGTTGGGCATGGCGAAAACAATGAGATAACGACAAGGGAAGGCACCTATTTTTGGGTTTTTTTGTCAACATCGGAATGTACTCTAGAGAGTAGCGCAAGATTTGCGTATTGTAGTGTTTGTGCAGATTGGAATTTTGTCGTACGTTTGTAACAAAAAAAGTGGAAGAGTGCGCTTCGACAAATGGGATGCACAATACGACGCGAAAAGAAACGTCTCGTCGCGATGAGACGTTTCTTTTGGTCGATAAGAACTTAAGATGCAACTGTGTTAAGAATTCAACGTCCTTTCACGATTGTGAAGACCACTTCTGCTAGAAATCCACAAAAAACACGAGAATTTTTACTGTATTCGTAACTCCTCAACAACCGTATTTCGTATCCCTAGGACAAACACTCCATCTCTGTTTTGTGCTTTTTAAAATCCCGAAACGTTTTGGGGACAGCCTACAAACGTCCGCAAATTAAAACATGCGAACCGAATACCTGCGCCTGTGATACACATTGTTTTGGAATCCTTCTTCAAACGCCGTTTTCTTAATGGGAGAAGTGCCCCATGTGCGACGCTCTGATTTGGATAAAGCATTGCAAAAATTTAGAATAAGCTTTTCTATGACATAGGCAATACTTTCAGCTCGTTTTTTGCAGAAACAACCGAAATTTTTTGGTTGGGAAATTGGCCACGATCCGAAGCTTTTTTGAGTTTGTCAATGAAGATTTTCAGCCTTGTTTCTTTTGGAGAGGGCAAGGAAAAATTTCATCGCCGTAAAAAAGAAAGTTATGTCGCTCATGTCACAGATCGTTGAATAACTCGGCTGCCCTTGGCGAGCGGGAGCCAAGGCTTTCAGGGTTTAATATGTATTTTATGCTTACAGGGGAAGTACCCCAAGTGCGACGCTCAGATTTTGATGAAACTTGGCACAGATTTAGAACAATTTGTTCTAAGATATATGCGAGAATCCTAGCTCGCGCTTTGCGGAAACAACCGAGATTTTTAGATCGAAAGTCGGCGAAAATTTAGGACTTTTTGCCGAACTTCGGCACCAAAATTTTCATGCCTATTTCTACCGTAAAGAATAATGTTTCTACAAAAAATCAAATTTTTCCGAGCGAAACTGCCAAAGTTATGGCCAAAAAGCGCTTTGCTCTCTGACCACTCTCCACGTTTAGCGTGCTCTCTCGGCGACAAAAATCGTGCGATATCTCGGCGGCGCCCGCAAAGCGCGAGCTAAAACTTTCAGAAATTGATATTTAGTCCATACCCGACGTGTGCAATATTTACAGAAAATCTGAGCGTCGCAGTTAGAGTACTTCCCTTGTTAGATTTGGTCTTTGCATTTAAGATCAGAGCCTCTCAAAACGTTGCTCTTGCCTCAACTCACATGCTTGTTTTTTTTGTAAAATTCTCTGACGAGCAATGTTTGCGAATAGTTTTTTTTCCATATTTTGAACAAATTTGATTGTTTCCTTTTTCAAACTATGAAATTTTCCAAATTCTGATCTCTGTCAAAAGCTGAGAAAACATTTGTAAAAAACGACATAATTTTTTTTTAGATTTTTTGGTGGTCCCTTTAAACAGAGTTGAGACGTATTTATTTAAAAAAATCTTGTTTTTACATGATCCTAAATTTATTATAAATTCCCCAATTTTTACTTCAGAATCTCCGCGAACCCGATTCTTCCCTTTTCGAAGTCATAAACATGACAATACGCTTGAGCGAATGGCGCTCCCAACACCCAAGTATACGGTGTGTAGCCGGTGGCTTTCACCATCAACTCGCAATGGTCGGGCGAAACCTCTTGAACGAGCGACTCCCATGGAAGGTTGTAGGTGTGTTTGCCAATGTCAAAGGTCACTGTGAAGTTGGCATCGCAGCCGGTCACCCAAATGTCCTTGTTCGTCACGTAATCGGCGCCTATGCCTCGCGCGAACGGGTAGATCCATTCGAAGGGGCCATGCAGATAGGCGGAACTAGTGTCGGACAAAGCCAACGCGCCCTTCAACGGGTGGCCGTTCAGAACGGGCCGGTCGATTTTGAAGATCCACGCGGCGTTGTCTTCCACCGGAATCCAGCTTTTAACAAACCCGCAGTTGTCATGATCAAGACCGCCGAGAGTGAGAGCGCCGCCGAGACGGCCATGTTTGTCGTAGCCCCCGAATTTGAAATGCAGGGACATAAGAGGTTCGTCCAAAAGACCGCTTTCAATGGCTTGGACAGCAAAGGATTTGGCTAAAAACAGGCGTTAGGGATTATAAAATATTGCAAAGTTTATAACGGGTTTTCAAAGCGAAAGTTGAAGTACAGTGAAACACCTGATCCTACGGCAAGAAATGTATCATTTCGCATCCGGGAAGTATCAAAAAATGTGGCAAAATGCCTCCTTCTCCAAATGAAGAAACTTCGTTTTGAAGGGCGAGTCCTTTCCCTCACAAAAAGCTTTTGAAATCGGAATTTTTTTACTTGGAGATGGAGGTATTTTGCTACATTTTGTGATACTTCCTGGATGCAAAATGATACGTTTTTTGCCACTGGGTCAGGTCCCTCACTTTAGACGTTTAGACTTTCGTTAAGTTATTTACAAATTACAAGCTTGCCCATGGAGCGCTTTTCCTGTAGGCTCGATTGGAGCTTCAGAAAGCTCTCAACTTACGATTCCTGCTCCGACTCAGCCCCAGGACCCCATCAAACGCAGATTTGTTGTATTTTTGGCCAAGTGTGGTTACAAGGCCAAACTTGAAGCCATCCACAGACAACGGTTCTCCTGAACTTATTCCCAGAGTCCAGTTATCTTTCCCGTAAAATCCTTGAACTCTGCCAATGGAGGTGTTGAAGGAAAAATCTGTAGAAGATTTTTCGTAGGTCTCGGAGCTAAAATACTTTGCTGTACAAAACGTTATGCGTATTTGACGGAACTGCCGGTCTGTCGGGAAAATAATGAGCTTACTCCTTTGGATTGTACTTTTTCTTTCGCAAGCAACCTTTGTCCCGTTGCTCCTCCGGAATGCAGCACTCTTTGATGCAAAAGAAGTTGCAGGGTTTCTCTGAAAAACGGATATATTTCATTTACCATTTTACAAATGGGGAATTGCTCCGGTCTCCCGGAAACATGCACATTGAGCCACAACAAAAACTCCTCAAAAAGTTCCTTGGCGGAAATAACTTTGCTTTTTTTGGCGATTAAAAAAAGGCGTCAAAAGTCAGCTCCGACTCACACGATGAGCAGCCTCTGGACCCACCTTTGCACCACGGCTGACATCCTTTTGGGCCCTCTCCGCACTCCACATGCGGTACCCAACTCACGTCACTGCTTGTGTCGACTACTAGATTGTACTCTTTTGGCGGAGTTCCAATAGCGACGGTGACTAAAATTTTGAAATATAATAAGTTTTAATATAGCTGCCCGCTTCCAAAAAATGAGTTGTCCTACCGCAATATTCGTCCTCCAAGTAGTCGTAAACGGGATGTTTGGAATCAAAATTTCCTTGAAGATCGATGGACGAACCTAGCTTTTGCAGGGACGCGCTAAACTTCGCCGAACTTGCAAGTCCAATGAATTGTAAGCATGCGAGAAGAGACAGAAAGAACATTGCAGAAACCAATTTTGAGTTTGCCAGTGTTAATTGGAGTTTATTAACAATTGTGCTGATAAGCGAGTTATCAGTGGGGCTAGAGAAGATTATTGCTGAAATGACGCTTTACTTGGCCCTTTAGTCCGACCAAATATTCTCGCCTGTTGCTGACACAAATCTCCTGTGTAATACATACACAAATAACACGATATCTCTTGGAGCAAATCAACCTACAGTGCGCGACAAAATTATAACCGCACTTTAGAAATTGCTGTAACTTTTTTGGTTGTCAATAGAAATGTGTCATATTTGGCTTCAATATGCACTAGTGTCTTACGAACCATGTGCTAAAAAATTATTTCGGGAAATTTCCCAAATTTGGAAAAAAAATTTAAAAAACCAAAATTTTGGTTGTTTTCTTTGCGACAAAATTATAACCGCACTTACGAATTTGGTCAATTAGCCTAATTAAATCACTGAATAACAATAACTAATGTTTAGTTACGTTGCCTTAGGCTTAAATAACGTCGATTAAATAGCTGGGAATACTCTGGTGGCTCTTCTGGCTAATATTGCGCCAGAATTGGAAAAGAGCCTCTTTGAGCTCGGCTACGGTAAAATACTGCCTGTTCTTGCAGTGTAATTCACGAACTAGAAAGCCCCACACGTTATCCTTCAGATTTAAGTCAAAGGAGCATGCAGCCAAGTCCAGGGTAGCAATTTTTTGCTTTTCAAGGAACTGCTTTGTCGACCAGCTAAGGTGGATGCGGTCATTGTCCTGCATTAACGTGTAGCCTGGTTCCCAATACGGCACCAGATGCTTGCCAAAGACCTCCTGATACTCCTGTCTATTCATTTGAATTGATGCGGAATCCAACGAAAGCACTCCGGTTTCTTCGAAGGCACCCCAAGTCATCAACGAACCACCTCCAGCATTAAGGTGCGAGAGGTAGCGCTGTTCTCTTCTGATTTTATGCCAGTTATATGTGTAATGTGTGAAACCGTCAGGGGTATCGTTTGGCTGTAGAATCTCCAAGGAATTCGTTTCTGTAACGGCGTGATTCTGACCTTTGACTAATAAAACAGTTCTGTCAAGGTCACCTTGGCAAATCTCGGCCGCGCACTGCAGTGAACCCGGGCCAGCTAGGGTCGCAACTTCATGTGACGCCCTGATGACGTCACTGTGCCTTACAACCCTTAGCATAGCTTTCCTGCTACAGTTGAGGCCTATTTCTTATTTTATATGAGACCAAAGGATGGTGGAGTTGGAAGCTCGGCGGATATACCTGCCTTTGCTCTGCTGCAGCGGCACACCTTTTCTACCAGAACGTTTAGATGTGTCATAGGCTTCTGCGTTAGTCAGTTAGCTACTGGTAAACTCTGCCCGAACGGCGTACCTGACAAGGGAATGGACTTTATGTGTAAATCGATTTTGGCTTGGGACCTAGTCAGATCGAAAGGTGTGTGGTAGTCGGTTATTCACTTTGGGGGAAATCTCTGCGCGGGGCTTCAAAGCCGAGAAAATCGGCTTCAAAGTTTGGACGAAAATCAAAGGATAGGGATCCCAGAAAAGGAGCGATAAAAAGTGTGAAGCAGTGGCCGAGTGGTCAGTGCGCTCGCTTTTTGCGCAAAAGGTCGCAAGTTCGAATCTGCTTCCATTCTAAACTTTTTTAGACAAAAACTTCTATTAATTTTTCCCCCTGAACTCGATTATCGATGCAAGAAGTATATTTTAAACGGAACTTTTCCATTTTCAACGGCTTTGCACCTTCCCTTTACAGTTTTAGAGCGCAGGGCACACCATCAACCTGATGTATTCAAAAACAACTTTCCATTATGTTAACTTTTTTTTTTTAATGTACAGCCGGATTAGCACGAAGAAAGCAAAAGTAAAAACGATAAATGATTATTTGAGCTTGGAAAGATTCGAACCTGCAACCTTTTGCGTAAAAAGCGAGCGCACTGACCACTCGGCCACTGCTTCACACTTTTTATTGCTCCTTTTCTGGGATCCCTATCCTTTGATTTTCGTCCAAACTTTGAAGCCGATTTTCTCGGCTTTGAAGCCCCGCGCAGAGATTTCCCCCCAAGTGAATAACCGACTACCACACACCTTTCGATCTGACTAGGTCCCAAGCCAAAATCGATTTACACATAAAGTCCATTCCCTTGTGAGCCGAAATCCCTCCTTTTCCGATTCTGGCACAATATTAGCCACAAGAGGTTAAAAAAGCTAGCCCAGAGTATTCCCGGCTATTTAAATGACGTTATTGAAACCTCAGGAAACGTAGCTAAACATTAGTTCTTGTTATTCAGTGGTTTAATTAGGGCAATTAGCCAAATCCGTAAGTGCGGTTATAATTTTGTCGCAAAGAAAATCACCAAAATTTTTGTTTTTTCAACTTTTTTCCAAATTGGGAAAATTTACCAAAATGATATTTTGGCACATGATTTGTAGCATACTAGTGCATACTGGTGCCAAATATGACATATTTCTATTGGCAACCAACAAAGTTACAGTAATTTCTAAAGTGCGGTTATAATTTTGTCGCGCACTGTAGAATTGTACTAATTTTGTTATTATTTATTGTGTAATAGAGAAGTTGGGAGCCTCCCCTGCAAGTGTGTTTTCCAAAATTTTTTTTGATGAGTTTTTGGCGACATCATACAAGCTCTTTCTCGAAGTGGTATATGGAGCATAATATGGCGAATATGACTATGGTTTTCGATACGCATTTTTATTAACCAAGTAGAGAAGATTATTTTTTGGAAAAAATAACAAAACGCCAATTTTCACTAACAAAAAACCCGCCAATATAAACGCCGGATAATTATGCATCAACCCAATATTTTTTAAAGTCCGAAATGACAGCTCTTATCAAGTTTTCACAAATGATCCCACTATCATACACATATTTATTGCACTCTATTTTTAGGTCACAAAAAGCCTCAAGAGTCTGCACTAATGAATCAATGCGAATCCAACCTTGCCGGTGTAATCGTAGATCTGGCAGTAGGCGTTGGCGAATGGGACTCCCAGAATCCAGCTGTACTCATCCCAGCTGTCGTTCTCTCTCACCATCAGCTCACACTTGTTCGGCGAGATCTCTTTAATGAGAAGGGTGCTGTTGATCGTGTAAGTGTGTCGTCCAATGTCCAACGAAAACTTGAACTGCTTGTCGCAGGCGATGATGTAGCGGTCATTGAGATACTCGTATCTGGCTCCGATGTCTTGCGCAAATAGGTAAATCGAGAAGTAGGGCCCATGAATGTAGGCGGAGCCGGTATCCGACAACGCAACGCCTCCATTGGCTTTGTGCCCGTTGAGGTCGACTCCGTTCAGTCGGAACTCCCATTTCGTGTTGCTGGTAAGTGGGACAAAGTCCAGAATAACTCCACAATTATCGTTATCAACACCGCCGAACGTAACGGAGCCGGCAACTTTGCCATTCTGGCTGTAGCCTTCGTCTTTCAGGTAGAGCGAGACAAACGGTTCGTCAAGAAGGTTCTCTTCGATGGCTTGGACAATGAATGATTTGGCTAAAAAAATTTCATAATTTTACTCTCTAAAAGGAGCTGTTTCAGTTCTCTATGTGTCCTAAGACCTTAGCACTTACGATTTTGAGATCTTCCCAGCCCAAACACTCCATCCAGGGCGTGGTGTTGGTAGGTTTCTCCCAAGTGAGTAACCAGCCCGAATCTATATTTGCTCAATGTCAACGAGCTCTGATTGTGCGTTCCAATGGACCAGATGTCATTTCCATACTTTCCTTCGACCATGCCGATCGTTGTGTAATGGATAAAGTCGCCGTAGGAAGCCGAGTAGGTGGAGGATCTGGAAGCAAGCAAATTTTTTTGGTATTTAGTACAATATTGGGGTAGTGCGGGTAGCAGGTAGATTTTCTGCAGCCCCGTTATATACGGTTGAAAAGCGCAATGTCTCGTCTTTAAAACCGTATGTCCAACATATCTCGTAATGCGTTACAAAGCTCATAGGAATTCGCACAAGTTGACGACCGCAAAATACGCAAGACTTATGGGACACCCTAATATCTGAATACCGCTTCTTTTTGCATTCAGCTGATTCCACAAGGCTTTGATTTAGGGTCTGTTATGACGCTAGATACGATCGTGAAAATCGTATCTAGTCTCAAGGGACTATGCTTACTTTTTTGTGTCAAACTTTGTCTTGTTTCTACAGCCAATGGCGTCGCTTCCCTGACAACAATCCTCCTCGCATAAGTATTCGCAGTATTGACCTGAAATCCATTTAAACACGTAAAAAGATACTTTGATAAATACAATCGCAAACATGTTATCATCCAAGGGGCGTAGTGCACATACCTTTACAGTAATTGGGGCAGTTTTTCGGCTTGTTACCGCAGAGCGAACTGGGCACCCAACTGATCGCGCTGCTTGTGTCCAAAAGCGCCTTAAACTTGGTTCCGGGCGTACCGACGGTCGCAATAACTACAACAATATGTATAATAATAATGAAGTGCAAGAAGAAGGAAGTTTTTCGCTGACTTACCGCAATACTCGGCTCCCAGGTAGTCGTAAATTGGCTGACGGTTGGCTATGCTTGCGTTGCGGGCAGCTCTTCTGTTGGCAACATATTCTGGCCATTTCCCTGAAACACAAGATGAGAAGAATTTTTTAGACGATGAGGAGAAATTTTAATCGTAACGCTTCTCTCCGACCTCGCTTCTCATTTCTCAAAGCCCCACATTCACAATAGAGCGTTGGAAAATTGTTCTTTCATTGCTGTGCTGAAAAAGCCGTAGTTGGCAGGACTAGTGTTAGAAAGAGGAAGCAAGAATTTTATTAAAACTTTGCTCGCACAATTGGGGGCACGTCAATTTCAGAGAGATTCGCTTTGATTGGCCACCGATATGTTCTGTGATCCTTGACCTACGCGAGGGTATGCCAAATGCAGAGAGAATTTCCTAAGAAAGAGAGAAAACCTCGTCGCCGCTTTTCGTTATATCTAGGGGAAGTACTCCAAGTGCGACGCTCAGATTTTGACAAAACTTGGCACAAATTTAGAATAATTTTTTCTAAGATATATGCGAGAATCCTAGTTCGCGCTTTGCAGAAACAACCGAGATTTTTAGATCGAAAGCCGGCAAAAATTTAGGACTTTTTGCCGAATTTCGGCACGAAAATTTTCATGCCTATTTCTACCGTAACGAAAAATGTTTCTACAAAAAATCAAATTTTTCCGCACGAAACTGCCAAAGTTATGGCCAAAAAGCGCTTTGCTCTCTGACCACTCTCCACGTTTAGCGTGCTCTCTCGGCGGCAAAAATCGTTCGATATCTCGGCGGCGCCCGCAAAGCGCGAGCTAAAACTTTTAGGAATTGATATTTAGTCCATACCCGACGTGTGTGCAAAATTTAAAGAAAATCTGAGCGTCGCACTTGGAGTACTTCCCCTGTTAGGCTCACTAGGGAAGTGTACAAACGAACCCTCACCAAATGGCAAGTGATATACACCATTGGAAAGCCCTTGAAAAATGGTGCAAGATACCATTTTCATTTTTTGCAGAATGCCTTTCCGCGACGACATACTGTAAATTTCATTATTTTTCGGTCATTTCGCAACAAAAATCTTTCTTTCTCTTGAGCGGATAAAAATCCTCGGAGAGGGTTGCTTCAATAGTGTATTTACCATTTAGCGTTTTGAAATAAGATTTATTGAGCCCCACAGCAGATATTGTAACTACTTAAGGGACAAATCAACCTGTTCCGAGAAAATCGGAATAATATTGTCTAGAAAATTCCGTTGATCTGAATTTATCTGTGCAATACATTTCTAGATATTTCGTCTTTTGAACTTGCCGATAATTTCTGTTATAGAAATTTCGAGACATTATGTAATTGGCGTCTTAGGAGGGTATAAATACCCCCCGAATCTAATACAATCCAACTCAGTTCAGATTCACTCGATATATTCCAATCATTCTGTGTTGTTGACTAATAAATTCTTCTAAATAAACCGAAGTAAACAAGCTTTGGTACATGGGGGCTAAGCCAAATTGAACCACTATTTGAGCTACTAGTATTCGATCCACGACTACTCAACCTACGATGACCATCTCAGGAGTGCTTCGTCAAAGCATCTGTCCAACCTTGAAACGAGCAAGGCAACACTTGGAGACTACACGATTCGAAAATCCTCAACCAAAACCGAACGCCACCGAGGAAGAGCAACTACAATTTTTTCGATCATCTACTGTAACGTACGAGGCGGACCACGCATCAATCGAACGGTGCTTAACTAACCTACGAAACAAGCAGAACGAGTGGCACAACTTCCTCATGCAGCTCGAACAAGACGAGAAAAAAACGGAAAGCGAAATTCTACAGAAGTTCGAAGAAGACAAACATCTCTCTGAGACGATAGAAGAACTAGAAGATCTTTCTCTCAAAGGAAAGAAATGCATCTCCCTTTGGCAAGCAGCAACCCAGCGATTGGAAGAGAAACTCAACCATGGAAGACAACCTACGACAAACTCGACAGCCACAGACTACTCCAACGACACCAAGCCAGAATTCCATATGCCACGTATCCACCTCCCCAAATTCCGAGGCAGCACTGATGATTGGAAATATTTTGAAGACATGGTAAAAGAATTCCTGCTCGAGAATACATCGCTATCCGACACGGTTAAGATGCAATACTTAACCAACAGCCTCCAAGGAGAAGCGAGACGTCTCATAATCCCGAGATTCTCGTGCACTGGAACGAACTTGAAGAACGCATGGAAGCTATTAAAACAAAAGTATGGCAACGAATACACTCAAAAGCAGCGTTTGGTCGACAAGATAATAACCATGAGGAAACCCGACTCTAACTCGTCATCGATCATCCGTTTTATCACCGATATCGAGAGCATCCTAATGCAAATGGAAACGCTTGGAATGGACACAAACACGATAGAGATCATCACCGCCATCGAAAAAGCTCTCCCCGACCGAATCCGACGACAAGTAGCCAAAGAAAAATTGAAAAGCAACGAATGGAGCACATCTCAAATGCGTCAAGTTCTCCAAGAAATTCAAAGCCTCGAACAGGAGCTGATGATTGCATTCCGCCGAAGTCCAAATTGGAAAGTGCAGTTATCACCGTCCAGTAAACCATCTGTTCCCCTTAGAAGTCCAACCTGAAGACGAACAACTCGAATCAGGTGCAACCTCCGAAAGAAACCATAACCTGGACGACGAACCGAAACCACGACGTTCTCCACGACTGCAAAACAGGAAGTCAGCAATAAACCTTGTGTCAATGCTATTCGTGTTCATGGCAATTTCTACCGGAATATCAACTGATCCACAGAACCCACTGGTATGTTCAACACAAAAGAGCTACTGGCAAGCTCCAAAAACAACACAATGTGGAAAGATTAGAGAGGACCTCAACCCGTCCAACTCCGAAAAGATTAGACTGATGCTATTCGATGATAACGACAAAATTTATTCAACAGAAGCGTTTGTATGCCGAATCACCAGAAGAACCGTACAAGCATATACTAATCTACTTGGAGATCAAATTCGACAAGCCGATGTCACCGAAACCATATTCATACCTTCCAAGGAGTGCGAGGAAATGATCAAGTCGAAGCAATGCAACCATGGTAAACTCTCTCAAGACGGTTCTCTATGGCACACCACAAATTCACTCGACCTCAACATTCCTGGCCGAATCTCCAGCTTATTCAGCGGTGCATTAGAAAGTGTGGTACATAACTGCTTCCTATTTTCAACGACAATTCACGCACGGCACAAGACCAAGTCAATCGAAACTATAATTGGAGACTCCACCCACTGCCCATACACTGATGGTAAATGTCAACTCCGGTCAGGCGAATCCATGATCTGGCTACCCGATATGGAAGAACGCTGCGATGTCGTGTTCAAGGAATATACTACGCCATTGTTCACGATGGAAGCCAACCTATGAAGAAATTCCGACCCGGATCCAACATATCGCCGAAATTTCAGTACGCACACTTCCACACCCTATCGGATGCTGACACCAATATCAAGAAAGCCGTCTCCACGGTGTGCAAAGTCCTGGAAGAACAAGGAACCATCCTGCAAAGCCTGACCAAGATGGACCCAACGACTGTATTCAGAACACTCATGAACACAACATCAATCATTGCTCGACAAGTTACTCCCGCCATCATTGAAGTAACTCATTGTCACGAATTAATGGAAACCGAGTATGAGCTAACGAAAACTAACACCTGTACCGAAGACGTTCCTATCAGAATCCACAAAGCGATGTCCGATGACATTTGGTTTCTGGATCCCACTACAATGCTCACCAAACGAGAATCTCGCACTATAGACTGTGATTCCGAACCAAGAATTGTGGAACTCAATGGACGAACACTACAATTTTATCCCAATGGTCATACTCAACAGATTCAGACGAATTCACTGAAGACCACGGACGTCGACCTACATCTTCAAACATTCCATACTACATTCCGTGCAATGCACCTCAAGGAAGTGGAAATGTTATTCAATATCTCCGAATTTGGTCAACAGAAAGAAAGAAATCAATTCATCCAAATTATCAACCACCAAGAAGTTCTAGTTCACAAAACACCGGAGACCTTAGGACTCATTGAGAAACACTTCAATACAATTGGATTATACGCCTGGAGATTGTGGGTCACCATCATTTGTGCTATTATCACCATCTTTGGAATTTGGACCATTCAGAAGTATTTTCGCACCCTGATTTCAGAACAGATCAAATCCGATGTCAAACCCAAGCCCTGAGATCACGCCTACGTTGAGATTCCAAATATTAATCCTCATAATCCAGTCTCAATTAGTCCAGTTGTAACGAATGACCCCATTGATAACTCTATATCTGCACTTACAGCCATTTTCACCCCCGGGAGTGTTCCGAGAAAATCGGAATAATATTGTCTAGAAAATTCCGTTGATCTGAATTTATCTGTGCAATACATTTCTAGATATTTCGTCTTTTGAACTTGCCGATAATTTCTGTTATAGAAATTTCGAGACATTATGTAATTGGCGTCTTAGGAGGGTATAAATACCCCCCGAATCCAATACAATCCAACTCAGTTCAGATTCACTCGATATATTCCAATCATTCTGTGTTGTTGACTAATAAATTCTTCTAAATAAACCGAAGTAAACAAGCTTTGGTACACAACCGTTTATAATTTTTTGCCCTGAGGCATTCTGCAAAAAATGAAAATGGTACCTTTCACCATTTTTCAAGGGCTTTCCAATGGTGTATAACACTTGCCATTTGGTGAGGGTTCGTTTGTATACTTCCCTAGTCAGAAAGACCTGCTATTTTAGGCTCAAGGAGACCTTCCTAGAGGTGGCAATCGGGCCGGGCCGATTTTTGCGGCCCGGCCCGATGAAAACCCAGGCCGGCCCGGCCCGGCCCGGTTTGGCCCGCTAATACAGAAAAGTTGGATAAAAGTCTTTGCACTTTCTATTGGAAGTTGTTATGCTTTCCAGAAGGTTTTTACGTGTGTCTGCGTGAAATTAAAAAGTCTAGTCGGATGACTGGAACATCCGTATAGGTAGCTAAAACCTAGCCAAAAAGTTGGATTGTGTTGAATTTTTTAATCCTATAGGAAGTTAGCTATATAAAAGTATGGACGTTATAAGGTACATGGTTAACCAAAAACTGTTTAAACACTTTCATTTACATCAAGGAATCAAAATTACATTGAAATTTTTAAATTTATCTCATAGAAAATTCGAAGATTTTTGCCCGACCCTTGCATATTTGGGTGGGATTTTACATATACATAATAAGTTACACATACATATACATAATTTTAAAAGGTAGTAAAACAGCGTATAAGTCAAAAAAGGTTTAATCTAATTTCCATCCATTATTCTACAAAGCATTTGTGCTTTATTTTGCTGGTTTAGCATTAAAAATTTTTTACTTATCTACTTTCCGGGCCGGGCCGGGCCGAAAGTGTCGGCCCGGCCGATGGGCCGAAGCGGTCAGGCCGGCCCAGGGCTTTTTCAAATCTGCTCAGGCCCGGCCCGGCCCAATCACCGGGCCCGGCCGGGCCGGGCCGGCCCAGCCCGATTGCCACCTCTAGACCTTCCCTTACAACTAGGAACTCCAGCAATCACTTTCCCTGCAAAGACATAAACATCTCGTCTTACCTTGTTTGATCAGCTGGCTTTTGATGCTCTCCACCCTTTCCAATTGGTACTTGAATTTGGCGGCCGTTGCCAACGCCGCTAAAAACAATCCCAACAAAAGTTGTCGGAGCATTTCGACGAATGCTGGAATTGTCTCCAAATTGATGTTTATTTAAAGTTGATAAGGAAGTTTTATCAAGCAATTAACAAAAGAATGTGGAAGCTTTAGAATGAGAAATTTTTTCGACTTTTAATTCCTCAACTTTCTTATCGTCCAAAAGACGTTAATAAATTGTGTTACAACTCTGAAAGTCTATTTTGGTGGAGAATGTTCAAGACTGCAAACTCTAGAATTACGAAAATACGCAGTCCACGGAAATTTTGGCGTTTACGTTGTATTCGAAGAAAAAAAATTGAGAGACTACCATAGAAAATGAGGAGAACGGTCATAGAAAAAAAAACTTTTTTTGAAAGAGCATTAAAAAAGGAGGGACCTGATCAAGTGGGAAAAGGTACCATTTTGCATCCGGGAAGTATCGAAAATGTGGCAAAATGCCTCCCTCTCCAAGTGAAAAAATCCCCTCACAAAAAGAGCGGGCGCGCGTTTTTAATCGGAGTTTTTTCACTTTGAGAGGGAAGCATTTTGCCACATTTGTGATACTTCCCGGATGCAAAACGACACTTTTTTTTGCCACTGGAGCAGGTCCCCAACTGTAATAGGATAAAAAAAGTTCTTTTGGCTATCCATCCGTTAGCAGACCATCTTCACAGAAAGACATTGATAGTTATAATAGGAGCCTTTATCTATCCTATCTTAAAACCAATTAGTTTCTACCACCTATGCCGATATTCGGGAAGGCAATAGCGCAAAAAAAAGTTTTGTTTCTGCACACTGCAACCTAAAATAATAGAACAAAAATGTCAATTTTGAGTTTCGTCCAAACAAAGTGGGAATTGAAAAAATAAAACGATCCTGAAAAAATTATTTTTTGGTCGGAAAACCCCACGAAAAGTTCATTTTTGACAAGGAAAGTACTTTTATGGGGGCTCCTACTTTTTGACGGGACATATCTCAAAAAATCAGAAAAAAAGGTGCTGATCAAGGATATATAAATCTTAGCTGCCCATTTTGGGCTTTTAGGGGTGAAAATGCCCAAAAACCGGCTCAATTTCCCTACAAAAGGCGCATGCATTCGAAACGATAAAAAGCGCAGTCGGTCTCTTCCTTCGGGAGGGTGGGGTGTGGCGGAGTGGTTAGTGCCGTAGTCTGGGAATCGAGAAGGAGGACGCCGCACGTGTTCGATTTTCCTTTTGGGCTGAATCAACTTTTTTTGAAGTTGAAGGTCGGATAAATAAATTTTTGGGCCAAGACTGATTTATTACGTCTTAGAAACTCAATAAACATCATTTTAAGCCAAAATAAAAATTGTAAACCCGTGAAAAATTAGGCGAAAAGGGTTCATATAGGACTTTAAGTCAACTTCCGATTGAGTTTTCACCCCTAAAAACCTAAAATGGGCAGCTAAGATTGATATATCCTTGATCAGCACATTTTTCTGATTTGAGATATGTTCCGTCAAAAAGTAGGAGCCCCCATAAAAGTACTTTCCTTGTGAAATTTATAGGTTGAATTCAGCCGACACTACAGCTGTATACAGTGACCGGCCTGATCCAGTGGCAAAAAACGCACCATTTTGCATCCGGGAAGTATCAAAAATGTGGCAAAATGCTTTCCTTTCCAATTAAAAAACCTCCGTTTTGAATTTCCCTCACAAAACGAGCGGGCGCACAGCATTCCGAACTTTTTTCGCCACCGATCGGTGTCGAAAAAAAATTGAAAAATCGAGAGAGGGGTATGCATTTCTTTGTGTTGCCGGCTAGCAAAGGCAGGTATTGCAAAATTAGAAAAAGTGTTTGATACTCTGAAGATTACTCATTCTAATTATACAAAAATTGTCACCATGCACTTTGTAACCCCCGAGAAAATCGCATTCAAAAAAATGAAAATTTAAAATTTAAATGCAATGAAAATGCACTTTCTAGTTGACTACTGAAGGAAAAAAAGATGCTATCGTGTAGAGAATTTTGAGTACTTCCTAATACGTATATTTTTTTCCGTTGTTTTCTAACAGTTTTAGAGGTACCGTGCAAAAACGCCTTTTTTTGCACTTTTTCCGACTTATCTGCACTTTAAATGCAAAAATGCAAAATCTTCCGAGCAATTATCATTCTGGGCATCCTTGTGGATATACATGCCAAATTTCAAATTTCTACGACGCTCCCGTCTCCTGTTATATCGATATAATTACGAAACCTTGACAACTTATTAACGCGCCTTGAAATATAAATTTTGTGACATTTTCGATAAAAAGTCATTATATGTACTCTATTTGTGAATTTGAAGGTATTAGCTTGCGTTTGGACTGCATTAACTGGAATAGAAAAAGCTGCACATGTGTATGAAATCAACATTTTTCATGATGACATGAAGCTGTCTCATAAACTGTACGAATAACATTCCGGGTTGGCAAAATACATTTTAGGAAGAAATAAGGCTATCCTACAGTAAAAACAGCAAGCTTTCTATGTTTTTCTTCGGGAACTTAAGTTGTCAAGGTTTCGTAATTATATCGATATAACAGGAGACGGGAGCGTCGTAGAAATTTGAAATTTGGCATGTATATCCACAAGGATGCCAAGAATGATAATTGCTCGGAAGATTTTGCATTTTTGCATTTAAAGTGCAGATAAGTCGGAAAAAGTGCAAAAAAAGACGTTTTTGCACGGTAGCTCTAAAACTGTTAGAAAACAACGGAAAAAAATACACGTATTAGGAAGTACTCAAAATTCTCTACACGATAGCATCTTTTTTTTCTTCAGTAGTCAACTAGAAAGTGCATTTTCATTGCATTTAAATTTGAAATTTTCATTTTTTTGAATGCGATTTTCTCGGGGGTTACAAAGTGCATGGTGACAATTTTTGTATAATTAGAATGAGTAATCTTCAGAGTATCAAACCCTTTCTCTAATTTTGCAATACCTGCCTTTGCTAGCCGGCAACACAAAGAAATGCATACCCCTCTCTCGATTTTTCAATTTTTTTTCGACACCGATCGGTGGCGAAAAAAGTTCGGAATGCTGTGGGGCGGTATTTTGAAACCGGAGTTTTTTCGACTTGGAGAGGGAGGTATTTTGCTATATTTTTTGATGCTTCCCGGATGCAAAGTCATACGTTTTTTGCCACTGGATCAGGTCCGCCACTGACGAAAACTAAACACGAAGGCACTAACTTTATACATATAATAATATTTACAATCAAGGATGAACATCTTTCACATCCTCCTCATTGACATGCTCGATGACTTCATTCCGAAATTCATTTAGCGCCACAATTTGGCCCGATCCAAAGATCCGCTTGTAAAGCGACCAGATTCGGCCCCAGTTGGCTTTGTCAAAGATCGCCGGATCCAGATGCGCATCATCATACTCTAGGGTGTTCAATCTGATCAAGAAATCCGGGGAATATTTCCAATTTCCTCGGTCCAGTCGGCGGGGTCGGCCGTAGAATTTGTAGTGAATTCGACTGAAAATTGAATGTGTGATTCTTTGTGAATGAATTGAAAGTGCTCAGGGACATTTTATACGACAAAATTTTTTGAAATTTGATAAAAAATTAGATTTTTTTTTTTTTTTTTGAGCTCACCCCGCATTCTTCTCCAGGTATTTATGAAACTTTAGGCTGAAGAAGTGCTGATCCAGATACCAGTTGAACATTTTATGTTTGTTTTTAATCGCGAACTCATCTCCATACACTTTTTGAATCGCTTTTTCAATGTACTCACCATTAACTACATCGGAGTTTTTGATGTCTGAAAAAAAAATTTTTTTAGATATTTTTTGTATATATGATTTACGATACAAGAATCTGCGCTAATTTTCTTACCCATGATATCCCGCCAGACGCTTAAATTCGCCGCAATTGTGCCCATATTGAACATGGTAAACGTGAGATCTCTGAATTTGAGCCGAGTTGTGTGGTTATTGTAGAAATGGATTGTCTCGTCTGCAAATAGGACACTCATCTCGTCAAACCTCTCTACGATCAAAAATATCATTTTTTGCGCGATAAAAATGACTGTATTTATCGCTTACTTTCATCCGGAAGAACGGCTGCTTTATTAAAAATAAATAAATCCACATCCGACGTGATGAAGATCGTATCCTCCCGCAACTTCTTCGCAAATGGTAATCCGGCCGCAAAGTTGCGGGAGACCCGCGCCAATTGGCCGGATGTCATATTTGAATTTTCCAGGAAGACGATTTCGGCCTGAAAGAACGGTTTTAAAAGAGAGTTTTTTACAGATTGAAGCTTCTCATAACAAGGGCCGGACATTTCGAAAAAACGACCGACTCAGAATCTTTTGATATTTTGCATAGTTGTTGTACCATGACAGCTGAATGTCAGCACGAATTTTTAGTTTCAGAAATTACCGTATACGGGGGTTACGGTAGGTACAATTTTTACAAAGATTGGGTTCGTGTGTAAAAACCGCAAGGAGTAACAGCACAAAACTCCGCTGTTTTACGTTTTTGACCATGGGGAACATTTTCATAATTGACAACTTTGCCGTAGGATGTAGTCTTAGACTACTTTGAAAAATACCAAGGTACCATATTGAATGTAACTTTTTTGCAGAGAACTTGTCTCAACTTTTGAAACCTCATAGAAACACTTTGACATGTATGTAACAACATATCAAAAATGCGCGAAAATAAAAGGGGGGGTTTTGGAGTTACGGTACTTTGAATGTGGCCGGTACGGTATATCAAAAAATCATTTTTTTCAAAATCGGTGTAGAAGACCCGCAAAAATTGCCAAAATACGTTTTCGACCATGGCGAACATTTTTGTAATTGACACTTTTTTTGTAGGATGTAGTCTTCGCCTACTTCGAAAATGACCCACATACCATGTGTACTGTAACTCTTCGGCATTCTATTTGTCTCAACTTTTGAAACCTCTCAAAAATACCTTGATATGTATGGAACGACATATCAAAAATTTAGAAAAATAAAAGGGGGGGTTTTGGAGTTACAGCAATTTGAATGTTGCCGGTACGGTATATCAAAAAATCATTTTTTTCAAAATCGGTGTAGAAGACCCGCAAAAATTGCCAAAATACGTTTTCGACCATGGCGAACATTTTTGTAATTGACGCTTTTTTTGTCGGATGTGGTCTTCGCCTACTTCGAAAATGACCCACATACCATGTGTAATGTAACTCTTCGGCATTCTATTTGTCTCAACTTTTGAAACCTCTCAAAAATACCTTGATATGTATGGAACGACATATCAAAAATTTAGAAAAATAAAAGGGGGGTTTTGGAGTTATGGCACTTTTAACGTTGCCGGTACGGTATATCAAAATTTCATTTTTTCTAAAATTGGAGTAGGACAACCGCAAACCTTGCCAATATACGTTTTCAACCATGGAGAACATTTTTGTAATTGACAGTTTTGTTCTAGGATGCAGCCTTCGACCGGTTTGAGAAATGTCAAGATACCATGTTCAATATAACTTTCCGGCATTCAACTTGTCTCAACTTTTGAAACCTTTCAAAAACACCTTGACATATGTGTAACAACATATCAAAAATTTAGGAAAATAAAAGGGGGGGTTTTGGAGTTATGGCACTTTGTATGTTGGACATACAGTACACCTCGATTTATTCTCGGCTTAACTTTACGTAGATTATTTTAAAAACAAAATGTAATGTTTTATCTGTGTTGTACGACCCTCACAAACTATTTTCGCTAGGAAATTCAAAAATTTTAGTCCTAAGCATACTGTAACACATCGTGCGCAGATAAGTGGTTACTGTAACAACAAGATCAGTGATTTCTTATTTTTTTTGTAACGATTACCACGGTTTAGAGTCATGTGTACCATACCACGGTGGAATCTATCAAAATCGGATGTCAGCATCACAGAAAAAGTTCGGTGTACTGTATGTCCAACGTTCAAAGTGCCATAACTCCAAAACCCCCCCCTTTTATTTTCCTAAATTTTTGATATGTTGTTCCATACATATCAAGGTATTTTTGAGAGGTTTCAAAAGTTGAGACAAATAGAATGCCGAAGAGTTACAGTACACATGGTATGTGGGTCATTTTCGAAGTAGGCGAAGACCACATCCTACAAAAAAAGTGTCAATTACAAAAATGTTCGCCATGGTCGAAAACGTATTTTGGCAATTTTTGCGGGTCTTCTACACCGATTTTGAAAAAAATGATTTTTTGATATACCGTACCGGCAACATTCAAATTGCTGTAACTCCAAAACCCCCCCTTTTATTTTTCTAAATTTTTGATATGTCGTTCCATACATATCAAGGTATTTTTGAGAGGTTTCAAAAGTTGAGACAAATAGAATGCCGAAGAGTTACAGTACACATTGTATGTGGGTCATTTTCGAAGTAGGCGAAGACTACATCCTACAAAAAAAGTGTCAATTACAAAAATGTTCGCCATGGTCGAAAACGTATTTTGGCAATTTTTGCGGGTCTTCTACACCGATTTTGAAAAAAATGATTTTTTGATATACCGTACCGGCCACATTCAAAGTACCGTAACTCCAAAACCCCCCCCCCTTTTATTTTCGCGCATTTTTGATATGTTGTTACATGCATGTCAAAGTGTTTTTATGAGGTTTCAAAAGTTGAGACAAGTTCTCTGCAAAAAAGTTACATTCAATATGGTACCTTGGTATTTTTCAAAGTAGTCTAAGACTACATCCTACGGCAAAGTTGTCAATTATGAAAATGTTCCCCATGGTCAAAAACGTAAAACGGCGAGGTTTTGTGCCTTTACTCTTTGCGGTTTTTACACACGAACCCAATCTTTGTAAAAATTGTACCTACCGTAACCCCCGTATACGGTAATTTCTGAAACTAAAAATTCGAGCTGACGTTCAGCTATCATGGTACAACAACTATGCAAAATATCAAAAGATTCTGGGTCGGTCGTTTTTTCGAAATGTCCGGGCCATCCTTCGAGTTGCAAAAAACTCTCTTTTAAAGTGTTAGGTCGTCCACAAAATTCGTTCGTTTTTTTGTCGCTTTGCTTTAAAAGGATTGCTTGTTCTTTGGCAAATGGAATAAATTTATTTGATACACCTTTTTCTCCTCTACCAAACTGGCAGTATCAAATGAATACATACCCTTTCCCAAACAATAAAAAATCCTCGTAAAACAATGCAATGAAAAAAACGAACGAACTTTCTGGACGACCTAATAGTATGACATAAAAAAATCAATTTCAGAAAACGCTTCAACTACCAACCAATTTTATTGGCTTTACCACAATCCATAAGATCTTCAGTTTCCAAAATTATTTGCTTATCAAAATTTTAGATCAAAGGGTCAAGTACAGTGGCGGACCCGATCCATTGGCAATAAATTCACCATTTCGTATCCGGGAAGTATCGGAAATGCAGCAAAATGCCTCCCTCTAAAAGTGAAAAAACTTCAATTTCAAAAGCTCGCCCGCTCTTTTTGTGAGGGAAAGGGCGCGCATTTCAAAACGAAGTTTTTTTATTGCCCAAGTAGTGGGAGGTATTTTGCCACATTTTTGATGCTTCCCGGATGCAAAATTATACGTTTTTTGCCAATGGATCAGATTCCTCATTGGCCAACATAACAGCTTCAAGCTTGATTTTCCGGCGCTACGTCTTTTCGGGTCACCGACACTGTGGACCTGTTACGGCGCAGGCTCGTCATAACAGGAGTTTACTATTACAGCAAACTCATCGCAACCTCAACTCCTCGGAAAAGAAGAGAGGAGAATCAGTTGTATCGGCCCCCGTTTTTGGGAAGGGGACCGAGCGCTCCGATCTCAGGAAAAGGGTGCGATGAGGGAGTTTTTAAGGGTAATTGTATAATTGTTTTATATCTTATGTATCTTTTATTCAGTACCAATAAATGTAGTAGATAAATTGTAATGTAGGTAATTATTACCCTTAGGGGATAAACGGCAGGGTCAGGCCCCGAACTCGGTAAGTAAGTATCATATATAATTTAATGTACAGTACCCCCTCCGCTACACCAGCCGGGGCTGTAACATTATTTGGAGGTCCCACCGAGATGGAATCAAAATTGTTCAGGGCCTACAAATTGCCAACCCCACCTCCCACCACCCACAATATCTTTAGGACGAAACGTTAAGCCTTTTGTCGACATTTTAGTATGACTTAGCGTAAATCCAGTCTCCACGTCCGGTCCCTGACTACCGTGAAATTATTTTTCAAAATGCCTTATTTTCGCGATAAGTTGCGCAGAAGCAACAATGAAGATTATATACTTGATCCCTTATATGCGATAAGAAAATACGCATAAAATAAACAGTTTTTTTTCGGACAAGGCCACACTAAAAGATACGCCAGAGAATATATATATATAGTCCATACAGAATAGGTAAAGAAGGCCAGAAGAGTGTAGGCTAATTCAAGGGACAAGGCACGGTAGAAAAGAGTTGATCAACGGAAGGTCAACTTCCCCTGCGCACTGTTTAAGAATCAAAGACAAAATTAAAATTTCGGGGCTCAAGGGCATGTAAAAGCAAATATATTTCTTTCGATAGGATCTCTTTTAGATCCGGATGAGCCCCGGGTACTGACGGAAAACACCGAGTACCCCGACAGAAATCCCTCCTTTTTTTTCCTATCCACATAGTCCGAAGTAAAATAAAGGATAGAAGTAATTAGTAAAGCGACAATATTTCTACTAGGAGCGCTCTTTCTGAATCGGATAACAACAACTAAACCTGGCGATAAGCCGCAGGGCAGGGCACCTGGCACGGACCAACTTCGCACACTCGAAGGGAGACCCCGTTGGATATTGTCAAGATTAGAATATGTGGGACGAATCCCAAACGCCATCTATCCAAATTTTTATAGTAAAAACCCTCAGAACCCGGATATGGTGCATTAACCCCCATTATTCAGCATCTTGCTTCCATGTTTATTTTAGTCATATTCGTATTTTCTACTGTATTATTATATATATCATATGTTTGTTAATGTCACTTTCACGTGAAGAAAAGCGAGAGTTTTCGAAAGTCCTCGCGCAAATAATAAAAAATGAAACGACCCGCGGGTAATCAATCAAAACCCGACGAGTCTGCAGGAAGGAGCACGCATTCGGATCGTTGCGCAACCGATCCAGAATCGTGATAACTTCCGATGTAAAGTAGGCCGACGCAATGAAGGGAACGAGTTCCTCCGACAAAGAGGAGACCAGATTCCTAACAACCCGTTGGCCCCCTTTTGAAGCGACGTAACCGTCGTAGAAATAGCTATCAAATCAACCACAAAACACAAGAAATAACCAAAGAAAGTTTATTGGGAGATTAATTCAACAACAGGATTAGGAGAAATTGATAACAAATAACAGGGGATTAATAGTATGGGAGATAAGGGGAGGTTAAAAGGTCATCAGATACCCTAATTTTCGCCCCAGGTAGTCGAGACCTCGGCCGTCTCGTCGACGTTCAACTGCTGGGTTCCCTCGACGGGCTCGACGGCCGGTTCCTCCGGGATAGAGCCAGTCACCACGGAAATTGTAGAAGCCGGAGGATAGATTGGTGGAAACTCTTGACCGTCCTAAAAATTTTAAGTATAAAAAGGGAAGAAATCGACAGCAAAAACAGTTCTGGACAGTTACTCTAGCCAAAAATTTAATTGTCAATAATACTTACCGGGCGACCAACACGGCGTCCTCTCGTCTTCCTCCACTTCGCCAGCAGAATAGGGGTCAGAACCCAGAACAAAAGGACCAAACCAAGTAGCACCAGCGACGCCATACCTCCGGCGAAGACTTGTCCCCAGTTCCAGTCGTCGCATTTGGCCGGTTTCCGGAGCTCATGCAGCAGATCTACGTCCGACTGGAGCCCCTTCGGCGCACAGAATAATTGAGCCTCTGGCAGACTGAAATCAAAAGAAAAATAAGGTAAATTAATTGAGATTCCTAAATCGGTTTTCGAGAGCTTCCCCCACTTTTCCTCCCTTTGTTATCTAATCTTGTCTTACCTAAATCTCTAATTTCCCAAAATAGAAAAAGGCGAAAAGAAAAAAAGAACTTACAAGGCCAGAGTGCTGGCAGCACCGCGATTTGGCTATCCATTCATTATCGAAACAGATGCGAGTCACATCGCTATTGCGGCTGTTCTCCTTCAAAAATCGCCAGAGGATGCCAAAATTCATCCGATAGTCTACGCTTCCAGGAAGCTAAATCAGCATGAGGCCAGATACCACAGCAGTGAGACAGAGGCATTGGCCGTAGTGTTCGCATGCCAAGAATTCAAACCATACATCGAAGGAACATGCGGAACCATACTCAGGACAGACAGTCAGCCATTGTGTTCATTACTGAAAAATACTGACATGACTGGCCGTCTTGGACGTTTTAAGTTGGCCATCCAAGCCTATGACTTAAAGATTGAGCATCGAAGTGGGAAATCAAATAACTTCTGTGATTATCTCAGCCGATGGCCACCAGCAGTCTATTCCGTTGAACAGGAAACAGTCGACTTGACATTACTCGAGCTTAACGCACCGAGAGTCGTCCTTGACGAACTCGTTATGGAGCAGAAGAAAGACAGCTTATATGCTGTCAGTTCGAAATCGCTTGGCGACAACCCAACTGGAGAGAGCCAGCCCAACAGCCCCCAGATACCAGCTTTTCAACGATGTTCTGTGCGTCGAATTCCAGAAAAACCCAGGAAGCTTTCGAATATACGTACCAAAGACGCTTACAAATCGCTTAATGCGGGAGTTTCACGCATCCCCTTTGTACGGCGGACATTTAGGGCTAGAACGGACATTTCTGCGCCTGGCCCAGCGATTTTGGTGGCCCAAAATGAATCAAGACGTTCGAGACTTTGTTAAAACGTGCCCAGATTGTCAAAAACGGCGAATACACCCCACGGAACTTCACCAAGAGCCATTAGTTCCAATCCGACGGTCGGAGTAGCCGATCGAACGGGTCCACCTTGACCTCATTGGACCCCTTCCAATGACGGTTAACGGATCCGTCTACCTTCTCGTCGTCTCCGATCCGTTCAGCAAATGGATTCAGGCCATGCCAATACCCAACAAAAAACCCGAAACGGTTGCGGCAGCGTTCCTGCGACATTTTATAGCAGTATTCGGAATCCCCCAAACGATCGTAAGCGACAATGGACCCGAGTTCACAGCCAAAGCGTTCCAAGGATTGGTCCACCAATATGGTATGGAACATCGGCGGACGACACCCTACCACCCTCAGGGAAATGGGGCGGTAGAACGCCAGAATCAGACGTTGGTCAACATGTTGGCACGATATGTCAAAAAAGGTGGAACAGACTGGGACAGCTACGCTCCAGTTCTGTGTTTCGCTTATAACACGTCAATTCACCCAGTAACAAGGACTACACCATTCGAGTTGCTATATGGCCGCACACCACGAACGCCAATAGAAAGAGAGATTATACGACAGCTTCCATCACAGTATGTGGATCAACCCACATATGCCCAACAGTTGGCCCGCCAAACAGAACAGGCCTGGAGAAAAGTCGTTGAAGCGCTGGAGGATGAATCCGCCAGGATGAAACAACAGTTCGACCAACGCAAGCACGTACAAAAGGCGCATGTAACCGTCGGAGATTTGGTGCTCCGACGCGTAGACGCGTACCGCAAAGGAGAGTACCACAAGTTCCAAGGTAAGTACTCGGGACCTTTTGTGGTTCGAAAAATTTGTAGCCCCCATGCTGTCATTCAGCATGTCGAGGGAGGAGCCGAAATCAGGCTACATTTAAATAAAATCAAAAAATATTTTTCGCCAAATCAGGTTGTGGGGTCACAACCAAAGTTAACCGGGGAGGCCGTAACACCTCCCAGGGTAATTTCAGAAGACAACCGACCCAGAAATTCGACCAAAAACCGCGACCAACAAGGGCAGAGAACAGACCAAGAACAAGTAAGACGCTCAGCACGGCTACAAGAAAGAAGGGAGCGCAACGAAGCCCGACTCGTTGGATACAGGCCAGTTTGAAAAGGCGGAAATATTTCAAAACATATAATTCTTCTATTTTTAATCAAATTTTATATACAAAATCTCGTAGAATTAGGACAAATGCCAAAATATGCAGAATGGAGGACTTTTTTCGAAAAAATTATAATCGAAGGAATAAGACTTGCAAAACTAACCAACCCCAAAAACCCCCGGAGAGATATCCCAACTTGTAAATATCTATACCGTACACCGCCGCCGATAATGAAAACACGGCGTAAGGTCAGCTGCGGGTAAAAGTGACTTAAAAAGTTTCACGCGATACCCCCAGGACGTAACGCGCGTGAAATTCGGCGCCGGTGTGACGCGTTTCGCGTGACCGATCGACCCGAGGAGTAGAACGGCTCGACCCGGCGCGAATCTGCAACTCTCGCGGCGGAACGGGGGAAAGTTAAAAGCACTTACCCTTCATTTATAATACCATCAAACAAAAATTAAAAACAAAAACATCCATTCATGCATACGTGGCCAGAAGCCATTTAACACTATTGTGTCTTTTTATCCTTTTATCAGTAACTTCATTTGTCAGTAGTAAATATTGTTAACCAGTCTACTGTTGGACTAACCTGCGGGTACATGTTCCCAACGGCATAATGATGAGCGTGGTCGCTCAGCAGATATGCGGGGGAGGATGTTACGGCGCAGGCTCGTCATAACAGGAGTTTACTATTACAGCAAACTCATCGCAACCTCAACTCCTCGGAAAAGAAGAGAGGAGAATCAGTTGTATCGGCCCCCGTTTTTGGGAAGGGGACCGAGCGCTCCGATCTCAGGAAAAGGGTGCGATGAGGGAGTTTTTAAGGGTAATTGTATAATTGTTTTATATCTTATGTATCTTTTATTCAGTACCAATAAATGTAGTAGATAAATTGTAATGTAGGTAATTATTACCCTTAGGGGATAAACGGCAGGGTCAGGCCCCGAACTCGGTAAGTAAGTATCATATATAATTTAATGTACAGTACCCCCTCCGCTACACCAGCCGGGGCTGTAACAGACCGTCTCTGTTCGTCGTTGTATGCATGTGAGAGGCTCGGTGAAGGCTGAGCTAGCAGAAATAATAAGACTGATCGGGTCCTAGGATAGCATACCGCCTATTTTGAGGTATTTTACGTGTACTCACATCAATAAAATCTAGATAAAAGTTACGAATCTCCGTTTTTTGTCCCAATTTTGGGTCTTTTATAGTATTATGATACAGTAACTCAAGGTAAAACTAACGTTAGAAATAGCTAAAATAAGAAAAAGTGGACATATTGCAAGTCTTCGCCAAGGCCCCGCCCAGCTTTCGCAGATAATCCAACGGCTTTTCCATGCCTTGTAGGCACTTCCCGCAACCTTTCTTCGGACTTCTACATTCCTGCCCTACGCCCCGTATCGATCAATTTTGTGTTGGCTTGATCAAAAAACCCACCTTCAGCTCTCTCAGCATTTCCACCGCTAATTTGGAGGCCATGCTCTTCTCATATTCCTCTTCAGTTCCAGCCAATAAGACAGCTGATTTCACTCCTAAATTCGCCCAATGCTGAACAACAAAGGGGGTGTTCAGCAAGTAGTGATAATTCGTGTCGGCTGCGAGGATGACATAAACATCTGGAGGGGAATCGACAAAATATTCGTTGATGGAAATCCGTGTTTGTGATTTGGAAACGTATATACAGGCAAAAATAAATAGTGAGATACTGAAAAAATATGGAATGCCATTGTAAATAGAAGTCTTAATCGATAGCCCAAGAAGTTCGACTTTTAATGTATCAGTACAGTGACGGGCCTGATCCAGTGGCAAAACACGTACCATTTTGCATCTGGGAAGTATTAAAAATATGGCAAAATGCTTCCCTCTTCAAGTGAAAAAACTTCGTTTTGAAGGGTCCTTTCCCTCACGTTTTAAAAACCCGTCTGCTCGTTTTGTGATGGAAATTTAAAACGGAGGTTTTTTAGTTGGAGAGGGAAGCATTTTGCCACATTTTTGATACTTCCCGGATGCAAAATGGTAAGTTTTTTGCCACTGGATCAGGCCCCCCACTGGAGAAGATTCCTCAAAATCTTAGCTCGCGCTTTCAGGGCCAGCCAAGTATTCAAACTTACCAAGCGACCCGCCGCGTTGACAATGCACGACGATGGGGCCCACTGACGTGCATTCCCAATTGTTTGTGTTTATGATCTCATAAGTCTGGAACGTTGGCGGAAATGAGAAATAAATAAAAAATTAAAATTCATCAGATGTAAAGAAATTCTCCCGCAAAATGACCCATTCCTTGGAGGTGAAAGAGCAGGAATGATGGTTATCTGGTTTGCGGGAAATTTGGAAAAAAAGTTTCTATCCGGCTTATTCAGATAAAGTGCGGGGTAAATGGAGATAAGCGCCAGAGGTTATTCAGCTCGCGTTCAACCTTTCCGCTGACGAGTCAGCAAAAGATCGGGCCAACTCTCATGTGTGTAATTAATATAATATTTGATTATTGACTTGGTCCCTCAGGAGGTTATTGGTTTATCTAAATGAAGGATACATTTTGTAGAACAAAGAGCAGATAAGAGAGAGGTAGGGGACTCGCAACGAACACCCCGTTTCGAGTGACGTGACGAGCGGTTCCATCGAAAATTGCTTGTTGAGAATCGAGGATCAAGATCTTCGCCGGAATGACACAACGTAAAGCCGTTGGCTGAGCTAACAGTTGAATTGATAGCCAAGTCATCGCGATGACGAGACAAAGGGTTTTATCAGGCCAATAAAACCCTTTGGCTAGTCATTGAGACGATATGGCTGGCAATTGAACTGTTAATCAAGCTACAGTGGGGGGCCTGAACCAGTGACAAAAAACGTACCATTTTGCATCCTGGAAGCATCAAAAATGTGGCAAAATGCTTCCCCCTCCAAGTGAAAAAACTTCGTTTTGAAGGGCGCGCCCTTCTTCACAAAAAGAGCGGAGTTTTTTCACTTGGAGAGGGAAGCATTTTGCCACATTTTTGATACTTCCCGGATGCAAAATGGTACGTTTTTTGCCACTGGATCAGCTCCCCCACTATAACAGTTTACGACGGTGGATAATATTTTATAACCGATGGGACATTCATCCCGTTACCGCAGTATCACAAAAATAATCGTTACAGCACGGTATTTATTGGTAAAATAAAAATATTTAAGATAAAAAAGTATTAGTAACGCTACTCTACGGAGATCACTTTTTATAACGTTTTATAACGTTATTAGGCAAGGAATGGCTGAAATTAACCGAAATTGGATATAACATAGCTGGTTCTATGAAAACATGAAAAAATTGGCATTTCGAAGGCAAATTTACATTTCTTGAAATGTCCAAGTACAGTGGCGGTCAAAAAAAACGGCCACCACAAGATGATGCGCTCTAACGCAGAAGAGAGTGGTCGTAGGAAGATAAATATGGTATCATTGTAAAGCTTATGGGATACTAAGACGTGTGACTATACGCTTGTGGTACTGTAGTGCTGGCCTAGCACGTACTGGGGCAAAATGTTCTTTTGGCCTGGTCAAAAAAAATGGCCACCCATAATTATTGTGCTTTAAATGCGGTTTATGTTAGAAATTGCCGCAATATGCGACTGGACTAGGATAGCTATATCAATACACACCAATTCCAGTATTTTTTACTTTGTACATATGCCCTCAGGCATCAGTCAAGGTTGATGACCTTGTTCATGGTTAAGGCCCGGCCAAAATTTCTTGTGGGTTTGTGCCGTTGTTTTGATAATCCGAAGCAATACTGTAGACGGTATTGATCGCATTCGTGTGTAAGACTGCCCACCTTTGGCAAAATTGCGCCCCTTCTGATAAGAAAACTCAAAAAATGAAAATTTTTGACCTAATTTTCTCCAAAAATCCGTTTTGGAGGCCGCTAAACAATGAATGTAGAATCTTAAACAGACTTTATTTGTACAAGAACATCATGGACATTTGTTTGAACACGGCACCGGTTAAAGGAAACGACCGTCCGAAACAACAGATACCGTTTTGTTACAGTTTTCGACTTCAGAAATTATTCATAAACTTTGTCAAGGTCTGCAACCCGAATTTTCACTTTAGGGGCTCATATTTACCTTTAAATGATAAAGTGGTATCTCAACTACGCCACAAATGCGATACTATATTATAATTTCTATTCAAAGAGGTTTCGGAACCGGACAAATTTCATGATTACTTCCTGAAGTCGAAAACTGTAACAAAACGGTATCTGGCGTTTCGAATGGTCGTTTCCTCTTACCGGGGCCGTGTTAAAACAAATGTCCATGATGTTCTTGTACAAATAAAGTCTGTTTTAGATTCTACATTCATTGTTTAGCGGCCTCCAAAACGGATTTTTGGAGAAAATTAGGTCAAAAATTTTCATTTTTTGAGTTTTCTTATCAGAAGAGGCGCAATTTTGGCAAAAGTGGGCAGTCTTACACACGAATGCGATCAATACCGTCTACAGTATTGCTTCGGATTATCAAAACAACGGCACAAACCCAAAAGAAATTTTGGCCGGGCCTTAACCATGAACAAGGTCATCAACCTTGATTGATGCCTGAGGGCATATGTACAAAATAAGAAATACTGGAATGGGTGTGTATTGATATAGCTATCCTAGTCCAATCGCATATTGCGGCAATTTCTAACATAAACCGCATTTAAAGCACAATAATTATGGGTGGCCATTTTTTTTGACCAGGCCAAAAGAACATCTTGCCCCAGTACGTGCTAGGCCAGCACTACAGTACCACAAGCGTATAGTCACACGTCTTAGTATCCCATAAGCTTTACAATGATACCATATTTATCTTCCTACGACCACTCTCTTCTGCGTTAGAGCGCATCATCTTGTAGTGGCCGTTTTTTTTGACCGCCACTGTACCTTTAAGTGTCAAAAATTAATTTCCGCGCGATTAAACGCCATTTTACATCCAAATTCAGCTAAAATATAATTAAAAATCCCACAGACCCTAAAAATTTTTGAAGAATCCCAAAAAAATCTCATTTCCGCTACTCAAGGATCAAAAATCCTGTTGATTCCGTCGGGTTCCACAAACTCTCTGCACCATCCACAAGTCTGGATATAATCCTTCGAGGATTCGCAGAATGTGGCGCACCCACAGGACGTTGAAATGCACTGAACTCCGGCGCATTTGGTGTCCCGATCGGTGCACTCCATGCATTTTCGGGCGCGGAATTGGACGATTTGGTGTTTTCGGACCGGCACCGAGCATATGGCGCAGTTCGGGCCGCCGCGTTTCTTCTGCGCGCAGTCCTGACAGTACGCAAAATGCCCGCACGGGATGCACATCACGTTGCGCTTTTGGTCGTGACAAATCACGCATTCCGTCATATCGGAAGATGTTGGGCGCTCGACCAAGAGTTGGGCCGTGTCCACCAGCTCGATCAGGCCGGAATTCTAGAAAAAACCCCAAAAAATGGCCAAAAATTTGACAAAGAAAATACTTCTATGGGGTATGTTACAGGTCGAGACATACACCAAAAAATTCGCAAAATTTTTCTGATTCAGCATATATAAAAACCAGCTGCCTAACTTTGGTTTGTAAGGGCGAAAAAATCATCAGAACTTTTCTCGCAACGCCAAGCAAATGCTTTTTTGACCAAGTGTTTACCAATTCAAAAAAATTTTTTGAGCTAAAACAAACTCTGGTGTCTCGGCAAGCTTCAAAATATCAAAAAAATTTGATTAAAACTACACCTTAATTGTAGTTCCAACGTAAAAAAAAACAGTTCTCCGCCCAAGAGGAATCGAACCCGTAGGGAGCCCTTCCCATCCAATTCTCAGTCTAGCGCTCTAACCACTCGGCCACACCGCTCTCTTTCGAAGGAAGAGACCGAGCGCACTTTTGTTTCCGCCGACCTTTTCCTCGAGAAACATGTTGATAAAACTTGTTGATAGACCAAAATTAGGCAGCTAATTTTTACATATTCTGAATCAAAAAAATTTTGCGAATTTTTTGATACATGTCTCGACCGGTAACTCCATACCCCATAGAAGTGCTTTCCTTGTGACTAAAACTTGAAATTTTTCAAAGTTTCACTTACCAAATACCTCTCCTCGCAATGGAATACAATTGAATCTTGGTTTATTGGAACCTGGACGGTGACTGGCTCCGCTCGGCAGGAATCTGTGCCAAAAATTATCTAAAAGAATATTATACATCAGGCACTTGTCGGAAGATTTCCAAAACAATACGAACCTTAATGAAAAACGTAAAATTCGTTTCATAAAAAGTTCACGTTTATGCCAATGACCCACCCATTTCCCATTTGACCTAGTATTATGTCCCCGAAACACTCACCCTTAGACTGTTCGGGCTTTCTCTGTAGAACGTCAAATTGATGTGCTCACCGCCAATAAATTCTGCGACATTCGTGACTGAGCTGAGATCGAGGAATGCGAACAATTCTGTGGGGAGATTGCGGTCTTCGAAGAAATTTTCAGCCGTAATTTTGCCGACTCCCACGCGGAAGCCTTCAGGTGGTGGACGCTGAAATTTTGGCTCGATTAAATACAAGTCGGAAGGTGTAAATTAGGCACTACATGTAATAAAAACAGGATACTTTCGCCAAGGTTCAGAGGATCTTATTTCTTCAGTCATGGAACTGGGACGATTGGGGAAACCGAAAAGTATTACTTTTCTCCGATGCAAATGTCAAATTAGGATAATCGAGGGCAGTGATTTTGACAATGACATTCTTTTTTTTATCTTTACTTTTTTCCTTAAGTAGTACTGCAAAGTAGTAATTTTTTGATTTTCTTTCACAAATACTCGATTCGGGTCATCGATGGTGCTGATTTCAAATCAGAAAAAATGAATAAAATTTTCGAAATCAGCACCATCGAAAACCCCTCAATCGAGTATTTATGACAAAAATTTAAAAAATTACTACTTTACAGTACTACGTAAGAAAAAAGTAACTATCAAAAAAAACGAATGTCATTTTCGAAATCGCCACCCTCGATTATCCCAATTTCACACTTGCATCGAAGAAAAATAATACTTTTCGGTTTCCCCAATCGCCCAACTCGGTTCAGTCATCCCTGGCGTCACCGATTCAAAAAAAATATTAAAAACTCACGTGAAACCGTAAAATTAGCGGTACAACGACTCTGTTTGGTCCCATTAGTTTGGTAATTGTGGTGTTGGAGACTGAGTACCCGTTGCGCCCGAGATAACGGATGTCTTTCGCTGGCATTCTGAAAACCTCCAAATTTCGAAAAAATCTAAACCTAAAATTCAAAGGTATCGTATATCGATAATACAGAAATTATGAAATAAAATATCCACAAATTCAAAAATCTTCAATGATTTATTACAAAATCTCTGATAACGAGGGTTTTCAAAAAAGAGTAATAACAATATAAATCATTGACTTGACGGCGGGTTCCGAAACAAAAGAATAAAAAAATTTTACCAAAACTACCTTGTTTTAGACATCTGAAGACCAGATGATCTAAATCAATAAACGCTTTCTTCTATTCCCATTCTCCCACCGTCAAATCTATTCTAACATCAACGACAAATAATAACATCCTATGGTACACAGAGACTTCAGTCCTGCCTCTCGAAAACCGACACATCAGGCGTTTCATCCTTCGCCGTGCTCTCCAAAAGCAGGGTCTTGATAAACCTGGTCTGTTCCAAGTTGTCCGCAAACTGATTTAGGTCATGTTTTCGTACAACAACCGGTCTGAAGCCAGCCCTGTTCAGATGTCGGCAGTTCATGGCCACTTCTCCGATGACTCGAGTTTTATTCCTCTCGTCCAAGTCGGGTTTTGTGAGTATATTATGAGTGGCGAAGATTAAGGCGACTTTTTCAATGTCCTTGTTCTTCGCATCAAACGACTTCACCGGGACGAACCGTTTCGTGGACTTCTGGAAATACAGGATACCATCCACATAGGCGCCAGTGTTCGGCTCAATTTGAGCGGCCAGGAGATGGGATTCGGGGGGAATGATCAGACTTAAATTCTTGATGAATTCTAGTCGCTCCGAATGGACGTTCTTTCGATGTCGGAGGCCGGTGATCACTTCTTCTGACTGAAAACAGAAAAAAATTTAGATTTTTTTTATTTTTTCTGCAATCTATCCCATTTTGAGGGAAATTCTGATACAAAAGGAAAATAAGTCGTCTTCCATCGCTCCATTTATTACCTAAACCCAAAAAAAAACAAAAAAAAACATCCTACCTTGCTCTGGATCAAATTCAACAAATCTTCTGGTATTTTCACATCCTGATGTAGGTCGTATTTCAAATAACTGGCAACTTGCAGTACCTTTATAAACCTGATCAGTCGCAGCTCGTCGCTACTAAAATTTAAAACAATAATATTATACTAGGCATCATCCTACCAATTCCTGCTTAAATCCGTTAAAAACGTCGGCTCGAGAAGCGTTTCCGCCATTCGGCCGGGGAGCTGGTTCAACATAGCCAATGAATGGACAGAGTTGAGCCAAACTGCCGGATTTTTCACACCTTTTGGCTTCAAAACTTCGGACAGTCGGTTTGCGGCTGTTTTGATAATTTCCGGTGGGATATTCACCAAGGCCAACGAGGAAATTGCCAACGAAAGCTCGGGGACACTGGCTTTACTAAAAAATAAAGATTCAAAAACTTATAAACCATCACTCACTGGTTATGTCGATTCGCCCATTGAGCCAAATAGTACCATAAATTCGGGTTATTGACCTTGATCTTAGCCAATGCCATCGTTATTGTGTTGAAGGTATTCCACCTTGTTATCTCGTGCAATGACTGTGGAATCTGTCCTTCAATGAATTGCAAAAACCGCGGGTAATAGAAGGACAGGAGATCCAGCGAGGTCAACAGCCGAGCACATTGGTTGGCCGTCAAAGAGCGTTTACTGCAAATATAAATCATTATATTACACTAGGCCATATAACGGAAAACCGTCGAGGAAACCCTAAAATTCAATATTGAAGGTTAAAAAAACTTACGCTATGACAGTTTCAGCCATTCTACTGTGCATTTTGACATTTCTGAAGCCGGTTTTAGCCGACGCTACAAACAAAGAAACGACTTCTCCGGTATTCATGATCGGCAAAAGTTCATCCACTTTCCCTTCGATTTTGTCTCTCAAGATAGGATCATGAACAAGTTCATGGAGCTCAAAAACCATTAGTAGTAGCCGCGGAGCCGCAATGTCACTACAAACACCAACATTTTTATATTACACTAGATCAAGATCTAAAAACGAAACAAAAATAAAAACTCCTACTCTATTTTCTTTGGCAACAGAGCAAACAATTCCTTTCTTACAGCATCATCAACTTCAAATTCATTGTGTTTCATCGCCAATGCCAAGGACAAAAGTGGGCTGATATCTAGGACGCCTGGATTATCCGCAGCACATTCTTGGACCCGTTTGAACAGCTGGGTAACCGTAGTTGACAAATGAGGAACTAAACGATCATCTTCAGCTGCTGTCGGCTTCCGAGGAGTGTATATCGATACGATCGCGGCCAAGCAAGCTACTACAACATTCGGAGAGGCTTCTGGATGAAGAAGCTTGGCGTTCAGACTTGAAACCACCGCTTCGCTGAAAGAAAACGTTGTCAAGAAAGGCCTGATATCAATTTCAGACAGAAACTCCCACAATCATTGGTATAAAAGTGAACTTCTTATCTGACCTTCGAATGCGATGTATGGAGAATGTAGACTGATTAAAACGTAACTCTCAAGCACAAACTTTCTTCGATTTACCTTTCCAACCACTTTCCGTATGGAATAGTTTTATCCAGCTTCGTTAAAGCCACCAATTTATCCAGGAACGACAGCATTTCATGTTCATCAGCTGGAGGCCGTGATTGAAACTCCTAAAAACGAAAAAAAATCAAACAAAACGATACAAAACCTACCTTCGCGAAACCATTAAACGTCGTTGAGTTAAGGTGTCTAAATTTTCCCGCATCTTGTTGAATGTTCGTGGTCTGGTCGACTAGATCGTTAATAAAACCATCAAAACCCTCGATGATTTCGGGATTCGGCTCAGGAACTGCTGGTTTGGTGGAAGAAGTCGCTCGTAACTGTCCAACATGTCGACGAATCGGACGAAATGCCCGCCAACATCGAGGTAACATCCCTTTTTCCACTTTCCAATCAGTTTCTCCCAAAATAAAAAACCTTTTTTTATTCCGAGCTGCGTCCGACCGATGCGGCTCGCATGGGACATTTTATATGATGTAAGTGAAAATTCGGCCAAACCGTTCAGGTTAATGCCATGCGGATTTTGCTTGTCCAGAGTAGTCGGATAATTGTGAAATTTTCTGGCCAATAAAGGAAAGTTGGCTTTCGATAGCAATTATAATATAATAGACGTTTTGCGACACACCAAGTTTATTGAAAGGAGTTCCTAGAAACACAAATGCAACTGGTATAAGGTTCGTCAAAATAAACAAATAAAAAATTAATTTGATCGCAGAAATGTAGTGCACTAAAGAGATTTTTGACGTCTTAACGTCCAAAGAACAGCGCCGTTCTTGCTTTTTTTTAGACTTGAACCCTTATCGCTCAGATTTTGATGAAACTTTTCTACAAATCTTGATTATTTTTTAAAGACAAACATGGAACTCCCAGTTCGCGCTTTGCAAAAAAATTTGAGATTTTTGGGCCAAAAGTTGAAAAAATGTGGCATTTTTTTTTGAGAATTTTGGTGTAAAGCTTATTTCTACCGTAGAGAGCAATGGTTACACATAAAACCAATTTTCCCCGCGCAAAGCTGGCAAAGATATGACCAAAAAAGGTCTTTTCTGTATGACTGTACTTCACTTTCGCGTACTCTCTGAGCAACACGAATGGTTCCATTCTCTAAAATTAATCACTTTTTTGCGCTTTGCGAATGTTAAGCGGGCCAAAAAAGACGTTGCGACGAGGTTTCGCGCGATAAAAATTTAGCAGGATGCGAAAAAAGAGTGCACTGCACGTCAAACTGAGGACTCCGGTGAATAGACTATTCGCTATCGGTTTTTTACACTTCGTCATGATTTCGCAGAGAAAGAGAGAAAAAAGACACGCAAAAACGTACTCTCTCGCACCAAAAACTCCCCATTTCTTCCCCGACAAAACGTTTTTTTCGCGTCTTGTTTTGGCGAATTGCCAATCCATTCACCGGACTGTTTTAGCTTATCTCAGTTTGACGTGCACTGTGCTTTCAATCGCCCTTTTCAAAACAGTTCTTTTGCACTGTACGGCGGCAGTGCACCCTGAATTTTACTTGTTGCCGCGCAACACGTCCTTCGCACTGTGCAGACATTCCAAGGTGTTTTGGCGCACGAAGGACGGAAAGGTCCGCTAAAAAAAAGAAAAGAGGAAGGCGGTGAGGGGGAAGTTTTTGATCGCGCTTATTTCGAATATCGTATCCATTTTTTCTTAATCTGACAATGTTGCTTAAAACAGATTGTGCGAGAGAGTCGAACACCCAGTGCACACGAAACAAGAATTCATAGCATGACCTTCATACTGTCACCAATGATAGTACTTGGAATAACGAGTACAATTTTTTTTTAGTTTTGATTTTTTTGGCTTACTGTAGGTATACTGTAACATTTTCATATTTTCTGTATCTCGATAACGACAGGTCGGATCGCCTTCGGACCTTTTTCATATGATAGACCTTGAAATTCTAAGCAAGTTCATAGTTGGAAATATTTTTCTGCACCTTGGTTTAGTTGCCGAAAAATTAGCATAATTATGCAAAAAATCCTCTTTCAAGTTTTTTTGCAAAAAGTACCCATTGTTGATTATTTTTAAATTGGCTTGAAAGATTCCTTACATCACGACGATTCGAACGGTACCAACTTTGTCGTTCAAAGCGGGGCCACACTCGAGAAATGCCTATGGAAAGTTAAGTCATCATGGTATTACAGTAACCTAAAATTGTTACTAACGGTGATACAAAGGTCCTCGTAAGTTCAGTTGATCATAGATGCCACCAGTGTATCCTTACTATGTTCAAAAACCCGCTTTCGCCACGCTTTTACGTGATATAATGCCTTAGGGGATTTGCAGGACTTTGCTGTATTTTGTCGTTTACAACAACAAGACATTAACAAAACTGTAATTATTATCTTCCATGCAAAAATAAACTACACTCGCGGTGTTTCTGACATTTGCAACATGTTTTACGGGACTTAGAAAGGACTTTGCCTAAGGTAAAATTCGAAAATTTTAGTTTTTCAGGAAAGTCGTGAATCATCTTCAATAAGCCTAGAAATTATTGTTTACAGCTATAGAAGGCTCAAAAAAGCTGTTTCAATTCTGCAACAGCTAATTTATGCAAATTTTTATGCGCGGTCCGGTCATAATGGTAAACTTGTGATTATTCCAAAACTAGGCATTTTATCTCAATGAACTTAGTTTTAAAGACGTGGAAATGCATTAAAAAGCTGACAGTAGTGATATTTTTTTATGTCAAACCTGTGACTATAATTGTAAAATTCCTGTGACTATACTTATATAATTTTAAAAATGTCTTACAAAAATCGCCTCGTTTTTCTAAATCGGAAAGGATTTTTCAGAAAAGTAGTGTTTCCAACAAAAATGAAGTGTTTTATAAATATAATAAAAAATTTCAACGGAATTTACATAAAACAAACAGATATTTACATAATGGCATCTTGCAGAAAAATTTGCATAAATTTATTATTTCTTAATCGTAAACGCCGGGACAGCCTTCTTTGAGCTTTGTTCAACAATGAACAAAAATTTCTAAGCTTATTGAATAAATTTCACAAGTTTTCTAAAGTAAATAAAATTTTTTGTATTTTTCCTAAGGCAACTTTTCCTAAAAATCCCCTAAATCTAGTAAAAATACATGTGAGATGATTATTCTTACATGAAAGACCGATAGCCACAGCTTTACGTATTTCTTTTTGTTGCAAATGATGAAATACAGCAAAGTCCTGTAAATCCCCTAAGGCATTATATCACGTAAAAGCGTGGCGAAAGCGGGTTTTAGAACATAGCAGGGATACACTGGTGGCATCTACGATGAATTGAACTTACGAGGACCTTTGTATCACCGTTAGTAACAATTTTAGGTTACTGTAATACCATGATGACTTAACTTTCCATAGGCATTTCTCGAGTGTGGCACCGCTTTGATCGACAAAATTGGTACCGTTCGAATCGTCGTGATGTAAGGAATCTTTTAAGCTAATTTAAAAGTAATCAACAATGGGTACTTTTTGCAAAAAAAGTTGAAACAGGATTTTTTGCATAATTATGCTAATTTTTTGGCAACTAAACCAAGGTGCAGACAAATATATCCAACTATGAACTTGCTTAGAATTTCAAGATCTATCATATGAAAAAGGTCCGGAACTGATGCGACGCGTTGTTCTCGAGATACTAAAAATACGAAAATGTTACAGTACACCTACAGTAACCCAAAAAATTAATTTTTTTCAAGCGATTTGTAATTCTTATCACGAGTACTATCTTTAATACTGATATGAAGAGCCACCTGTAACATCTTGTTTCGTGTGCACAGCCTGGCTCTCAATGCTCGATCTTCTCAAAAAACGTGTTTTAAGCAGTAGTGTTAATTAGTAATTTAAAAAAAAAAATTTTGAGTAATGGATTTAGGGGTTTTCGGTGGTGCTGATTTTAAAAATTGTATCCATTTCTTCTGAATTCTTGCCTATCTTCCTCAATTCTTTAAAATAAATGTTTTAATTGGTAAAAACTTGGTCAAACTTGTATGATATTGTAAGAAAACTTATGACGCTTTTTTCGTTTTTACAGCGAAAATGACACTACTGCTTAAGTAAAATTGTAAAATTCAGAAAAAATTGATATGTTTTTCAAAATCAGCGCCATCGAAAACCTCCCCTCTCCCCTCCTCCCCGCCCTCCTCTTTCTTTTTTTAGCGGACCTTTCCGCAGCGGACCTTTCCGTACTCAATCGTTTTGGCGCGCCTAGTATTAACAAAGTTTTAGGCGTCATTTTTTGCTGGACACAGTTGTGCCCAATTGTGTCATAACCACATCTCCATAATCAGCTCAGTCATTGTTCTCCGGTATAATTGAAATAAAGTTAAATTGCAGGAATGGGTAAAGCAAACCCAATTTTTAATGCACCACACTATAATTGGTCGAAGAAAGATATACAAAGAAAGTGATCTGCTGCTATGACATTTGTTACAGCTTTGTTAGACTATCACCTGTTTGTTTAATTTATTGGCCACGCATTCAATTAAGCGAAGAGAGAAATGGCTCTGCACTATTTGACGGTGGTCGGTGGCAATAATTTAGTTGCGGGGTATAAGCTTTCTGTATCTATAAATGTAAAAAAATCAAGGTTTCCCCTTCCCTGAGTTGTCCGTTCGGAAAATGCCTGGCCCTTCAGGGCCGGAACAAAAATTACGATTATAAAGTGCCTTCAAAAATTTCGAAAACCCTGGAATTTTTACTAACTAGATCAAAGATGATTACACCTTCATGTATATGTGCGCCTGCCAAAAAACCGCTTCTTGGGGATTTCCTGTTGAAATTACAAGACGTTTTGTCCTCAATCTGTCCTTCGCGCCTATTACAGCTCTGCCACAGACCGTTTCTCCCTCAATTTATTAATAAAAAATCGGAAAAATTTTTTGGTTCACCCTAATATATTTTTTCTGGGGCTTTCCGAGTTCAGCCCCCCAGGAAGGGTAATTCAAACCCCCAGTATCCCTTCAGGGTGTTGGTGTTCACATTCAGGCCGTCGTGGTCAATACTAACTGTATTATTTTTAGTATATCAAACCCCCAATGTTGTACATCCAACCCCCTGCGTTTTAGATCAAACCCACACTTTTCAGATTGGATGAGGGGGGTTTGTACTGGGTCATGGGGGTCTGGACTGTGGATTTGTACTACCTTACCCCCCTTTTTCCGATTTAACTGCGCAATTCTGCGCATGAGATGTGACATGATTGAATGGCCTGTATCAGCGTCGTTCCACGCCTCGACCTGGTACAGTCTTTGAATTCAAATTTGTATTTTTATGCTTTGTTGGCAACTTGTAATTACATACTATTTCAATTAACAAGAACGTTTTTCTACACAACTCGCAATTATAAGCGTACCAAAGCATATGTAACT